TAAATGAATATTTAAATATTCACTTAAAAAATAACTAAACTTGCAAAAAATACAACCCATGTCTGGGAAGGGTAACAGTTTACTAGTTACTAAGGCAGGACAAGCACTACAATTGTTAAGTATCTCAACAGACAGAGGAAATATGGAAAGGTGAAAAGAGGCAGACTGCCACTCAGGGGGCTGAAGACGAACTCCAGCTCCTGTCAACAGGGCTACTTTGGACCTGTCCAATCCTTTTAGAACTCTGTATCCGTCACCATATACTGAGTCCAAAGGGCACCCAGCCTCAGTGGGCCCTGTCTCCTTGAACAGCTGCGGAGGAACCATGACCTACTCACCACTTCATCTCCAAAGTCCCCATTGAAGCGCAGGGAGCTGGTCAGGTACTGGCTCTCCAGGCGACTTTTCAGCTCCTGGACTTGTTTCTTCAAGGTCTCCACTTCCTGCTGGTGGCCTGACTCAATCTGACGCAGGCGCTGCTGGATTGTGTCCGTGTACACTGGCATGCCATCATCGTCCAGGTGGCTGCGAGAAGGCTGGTCGGGGCTGCTAGTTGCAGATGGTCTCCCCGAGTGGTTGTGCAGCCACTTGGGGTGCAAGTTCCTCGAGTGTAAGTGGGCAGAGCTACAGCTTGTGGCAGAGAGCTGGCGGCTCAGTGAGTCTTTGTTCCTCCCAGCCTCCCCATTGGCACAGTGCCCATTGGGCGTGGGGTACTTCTGAAGAATGCCAAGCACTGGGGGCTGCTCTGAGGCCTTGTTTTCAGTCTCTGGGGCACCGTTGCACACAAGCCCCTCTTTACATTCAGCTAAAGCCAAGGCACAAGGGGCTGGTGTTGGGCTGACAGCGCTGCCGGGGGAAGTCCTCTGTACCACAGGCACTCCCTGGGGCCTCTCAGTTACGCTCCTCTCCACAGGCCTAGGCTCTAGCACTGGGGGAAGCATGTCCTTGCCACTGAACCTGCCACTGATTACAGGGCAAGGTCTATGATGGACTCGAGATTCACTTTCTGACTTCACCTTATCTTCTATTAACATGTTCATGGGATTGTCCATGTTTGGTCCTCTGGTCTCAAAGGGGACTTGGGAAGGTAGTAGAGAACTAGACAATGAGGTACCATAGCCAACTGTAACATCTACCGGGATGTGAGGAATTGTCCCCTCTCTATCCTCTGTGATAGCCCCTATTTGAGGCTGCTCCACAGAGACCTCCTGGATATCCTCTTCCTTGGGGGAAGCCCGCAGTGAACTGAGAACACTGTGCCCATCCTGCTTCTCAGGAACATCTTGTGAGAATAAAGACAGGGTGGTATCTGGGTGGCTCCTCAAAATAGCATCATCCGGCTCTGGTTCTTGGTAAAATACAATGGTTGAGCCCTCAGCCACTGTCATCCTGCTCTCCTTCACTAAAGGTACCTCCTCTTTGACCTCTGGCATCTTGATACTCCCTCTATGGGCAGGCTCCTCCACTCCACACTCCTCTTTGGTGGCCTCTTGCAAAATATTCTCCATCTGCCCTTCTGCCACTCCAGCTGCCACAGACAGCTCGGCACCCCCTGGAACCCTGCCAGGCTTCCCCAGGCTGTCAGCAGCAGCAGGAAGCTCCTCCCCAGGTCCGGCTAGGCTGCTCAGCTCCAGTGAACGCCGGTGCTCCTGCCACTTCTCGTTCAGGCTGGGGTCGCTGCTGCGCCGGCTGGCTAGAGGCACTGTGCTGTCGCAGGCTGTAGTCAGATTGTCAAATGACCTAGTCTTTGGTAGCCTAAAAAAAGGGGGAAGGAATTTAAGGAAAATGAGAATCTTTGGGGCAATTCAGAGGGAAGCAGAAGACAGTAAGTTTTAACGAGCTATTAAAGTGTACAAGAAACCATGGCATCTCTGAAGGGTGGCTCAGTAGGCTAGATGGAAAAACTCCCCTATCTGCACTGCCCTCACCCTACACCCCATCAATACAAATATGCTAACAGCAACTGCTCTTTTTAAAAAGGTGTTCATAATGCTTGGCAGAGGAGCACTGATTTTTTCATATTACAGTTCTTTAAAAATTTATCAACTCTGAATTTATAAGCTAATTCACAAGTGGCAAGGCCAAAATTTCTAACACCTTCCAGCATTTGTCTTTCAAGCCTCAGAAGACAAATCAGAGCAAGGTGACAGGAGCAGAGAGAGAAGCGGGTGAAACACAAACCAGGGGGTCACAAAGAGCCCAGTGGATGTATTCCATCACTGAAAAACTGCTCAGTGCATATAGCAGAACATAGCAACAGGGTCCTATCCATTTCTATAAACAAGGCTCTTACTATCTTCCCTGAGAAAACTTGAAAGAGCTAAGAAAGATATTGCAGACCCAGGCAATATCCTGATTTCTGACCATTCTTGGGCATGTCCCCAAACAGGACTATAGCCATACATGAGATGAGGTCTGCAGCATCACCCCTAGTCTCACCGGCTCAGGGGAGGATCATCAGGGCTAGTGCCTGGGGCTGGATATGGTGCACAACTGTCGTCCACGGGAGTAGATGGGGATGGACAGGGCAGGTACACTGCACTCCACAGCATCAGATTACGCACATGGCACACTGGGTACAGCACCTAAGGGAAGGAGGAAGAACACAGGTTTAAATATGTCACAATTAGTCTTTTAGAAATTTCTAGAAAGCTGCACATGGCACATGCCTATAACTCCAGCTAATCAGGAGGATGAGACAGGAAAATTCCACATTCTGAGCAACTTACTAAGATCCCTTCTTGAAGTAAAAAATAAAAAGAGCTGGAGATACAGCTCAGTGTTAAGAGCACTCTTGGATTCAATCCCCAGTACCACTGGGGGTGTGTGGAAAGATCACAAACAAGTACCCTGGAACACTCTAAAGGGCTGAAACACATACACTGGGAGATAGCATCAGTAGGCTATATAGGTGTATCTCCTGACTCCAACACAGGACTAGACATTTCATTTAGCAACATGTGGCCATGAAAACCTAGGAGCATTTTTTAGAAGACCCACTTCTCAATTATTTTTCAGGTCACCTTTACTGAATGACTGACTTTCACCATCTTGATTTGTTGCTTTTACTACATAAGAAAGTGAGTCATTCCATTAGATGTGATTGTCTGCTCCCCTGGTATAAAACTTCGCTTCACAGAAACTGTCAGGTCTGTTTTATAGAATCATTTAAATTAATCACATGAAAAAAGGGGAGGAATTTTCTTCCTGTATTATTACTTCCCTAGCAGGCATAGTGAAGGAGGGAGAGAGACAGTCAGCTTAAATCTTTTCTTTCAAGTAATGAGAAACATATTAATAACTCAGCAAAGCAATTAACTTGATTAGCCTGCTTTTGACTTCTTATAGGTTTAAGATGCTTTCTGACAAAGAGAACACTAACACATAGATGCATGTGTCTCTTTTTCTCTGCTTAACAGAAGGTATTCCTTTGGAGAACAAACTCTTAAAGGGCCTGCCAGCTCTCCATGTGAGCAGAAAAATCAAGACACTGATGCCAACATCAGGCCCAGTTTTGTGCTGAGAGAGAAGCTAAAGTGAGTAACATCACCTAGTATGTGGGGAGAGTGCTGGGAGCGTGGGGCCCATTCCTCCTCTGAACTATCAGAAGCATCCAGGAAACAACGTAAGTGCCTCTTCCACCAGTTAGCACATGCTAGGAATACATTAAACTCTGGAGGAGATGACAGAAAAGATTTGTGTCTAGGATGGCAAAGCAGAGATGTGCATTACACCAAACCACTGTGAGCACAGAGTGGTCAGGAGCAGGTCAGAACATCACAGGAAACAGGCCTTTCTTAGAACGACAGGGGGGAAAAAAATGGAACCACCCCACCCAAGACAGAGAGATAGCCTTCACAAGAACAGGAACTCAAACAGATTCCCATGTCCCACCCCAAATTTATTCTGCTGAGTAGAAGCAAGGCTGAAAGATACATACGGCTTCTGACTGAGAGGAATACAGTAAGTTTTTGAAAGCCTTGTTGCCTGCCCGAAGGAGTGACCAAACAGAACAGGTCCGTTCCTGAGTATGCTTTTCTCCTCTCTCCTTGGCGTTGTTGCACAGGAATGTTCCAAAGAGGCAGGAATAGGTATGCTGCACCAGTTTCACCTAGGGGAGTCCAATGAGGCAAAACCATGTAGCAGGACACACATTCTCTGGTAAGAAGCCAGCCCAGCCAAGCCACTTTACCCTAACATCCCCGAGAATTTCAGCTCACTCTGCCAGGATTGGGGAGCAAAAGAGGCCATGCAATAGCCTTCTCCATGGTCTCATCTCAACCACCAGCACGCATCAGCCAAAGATAGACTGGTGTACCCCATTCTTCTCAGCTTCCCTGTTAAGCAGTCTGAGCTTCTGAAGTAACAGCTATCCTCACTAGTCATAGAATATATAAACCTGATACAACAGTAGGCCACTGTACAGCTCAAGTCTGAGCTAAAAGCACACTTATAAAACTATTTATTCTTTCAACAAATCATTATTGAGCATTTCACATGCCCCAGGTGGGACTACAGGTCCTGGATATGCAGCAATAATCTGCAAGCTTTTCTGCCCTGATAGAGCTTGCTCTAGCTGTGAGGGAGAAGTGATAAGTGCTATGGAAAATAAGGCTGGGTAAGAGGGACAGGGCAAGTTCTGGGCAGTGAGAAGGCCTTGCTGATTGAGACCAGATGGAAGTGAAAGAGGAGGTCACGTGGGTATCTGAGGAGAAATATTCTAGGCAGAGGCAAATGCAAGCACAATGGCTTTGAGATGAGTGTATGTTTATGATCTCTGAGGAACAGCAAAGAGGCCAGTGTCACTAAAAAGACTGCACAAGAGGGAGCAAGCAGATCAGTAGTGTACAATTTGAATCAGACCTAAAAGCATACTCCTAGGAAACAGAGAAGAAAAAAAGGACAAGGAAATAGCCCTATAGGCCATTTTAAGGACTTTGGTTTTTATTCTACGTGAAAAGTAGTCACTAGATGTTTCCAAGAAGGAGAATGATGTGGTCCATTTCATGTTTTTCAAAGATCTCTCTGTGTTAAGCTGACGCTCTAGAATTAGGGCAGGAGATAATGGTAGTGTGGACTTGTGGAACATCAGTAAAGGTAGTAATTAAGTTTTAGCTATAGTTTGAAAGCAGAGCTACAGAATCTATAGACTGAATATAGAGAATCAAAGAGATGAAGATAACATAAAGGTTTTGACCTAAATGAATGGGAAGCTGGTGTTGCCATATTGTGAAATGGAAGACTCCTTTGAGTATCAGCTTCCTAGGGTGAGGAAATGTAGGAATCAAGAATTAAGTTTCATTTAGGTTGAAATGCCACTAAGACATCCAAGAAGAGAGCAAAATGTGAAGCTCAGTGGTTGAGGACTTGCCTGCCATGCACTAGGTCCTGGGTCCAATCCCAGCATAACAGGCAGACAGATAGACGGACAGACAGAGAAAGACAGAATTAGCTAGATAAACACAACCAAGTTGAGATATCATGTATTCACAGTCGGATAATGTGAAGCTGGAGTGGACAGGTCTAAGCTAAAAATGTATACACATCAGATTCTTCAGAATGGCAATTAAAGCACTAGATTGGATGAGATCTTTAGAAAGAGTTTGTGGGTGAGATCTTTAGAGAGGGGGTTTGATGGAGAAGCTGCCTGGAAGCTGAATCCTGGGGCGTTCCAATATTCAGAACTAAGGAAACCAAGAAGAATCAGCAAAGGAGATGAAGGATTAGCCACAGAACTAAGAATGATGAAACTCTAGAATCAACTGAAGAAAACATTTCGAAAAAGGAGTTCAACTGTCAAACGATAAGATGGAGTAGAGATGAAAACTGCACTGGTTGCTGGATGAGCAACATGAAATTCTCTGGTCACTTTAACAAGAGCAGCTTTGGTAAAATGGCATGGTGAATGCTTGACTTAAGTGGGTTTAAGAGAGAATAAGAGGAGAAGAATTTGAAATATCAAGTGTAAAAGGCACAAGGAGCTCTGTTATAAAGTAAATCGGAGAAATGGGATGACAGCTAGAGACAATGCAGTACATAGAAAGGGTTTTGAGACAATGTGGGACACTATGCCATGTTTATATGCTAATCACTGTGACCTTGCAGGGAAACATGTTGGTGCAGATGGCAGAGAGAAGAAATGCTGGCTCTAGGAAGCAGAGCAGATAAGAAAGGACAAGGACAGGACATTTTCTATCCCAAAGGAGACAGGGCAGACAATGTGGGTGACATGTAGGAAGTTTGGTAAATGGATTGGGAGGGAGTTTGGGACATTTTGATTGCTTTATTTCTAAGTACTGTTTAATGTTTCTATCACCCCTTTTAAAAGGTAAGTTTAAAACAACTCAAGATCTGTACAAGGCAAACCTAATACACCTGGATTCACTGAACAAATGCCTACTTACTATCATTGCTTTAGATAAAAATGGGAGAAAACCATCACTCCTCTAATAAATTCTAAAAAGGCTGCACAGTTTCATGTGAAAATTAGCCCACAAACATTTGTATTGACATCCTCTCAAAACTAGATGGTTCCCAAAATGTAGAATTCACAGGCTCAAACTCACAAGGAATGCTTCATTGAACTCAAAAGAGCAAGGAAATTGCCTCTGAAGCTGATGAACGCAGTCAAGCCACTGCAGAAACACTGGGCAACGCTCATTTAGATCGTCCGAGTTCTCCCCATGACCACACCGGTCAGCAAACTTATGACCAAAATCCAGCCACTCCATCTCCACAAGGACCTGGAAACCCTGTAGGGAAGCACCCAGGAGAGACCATTTGTGCTGCACTATCCAAAACTGTAACAGTCCTGAGCCTGTTGTCACCTACAGCAACCCCCTTTACTAGCTTCCCAGTAAGTGCTTCTACCCACACCCACAGCTGAAAGTTCTCTCCCTGATGAGATACACACTTAGTGAAATTCCACAATTCTCTGACCTCTATTCTGTATTCATGGAAGGGTACTAACTGTGCATCCATCTAAGTCTTTCTTGAGTGTGTTTTTATATTTTTTGCCTCTTTCATTCACTATATAAAAGCTACAGATATTTCCCCCTCTCTTTTATTTTGTAATTTTTACCTTTGGTATTACATTTACAAACTCATGTTTGTAAAATCCTTCCCACCCCAGATTTTACAAATGCTCATATGTATTTTAAGTGTGTTATGGTTTTTTCTCATATCTTTAAACTGTTAACCCAACAGGTGGTTACTGCAGAGTAGGGCTGCTTCTCCACAGAACACTCTGGTAGCATCTACACCACTGCCCTTAAGAATGCCAAAATCATTTTATCGAAGTCCCATTTTCCTGAGGTAGCCAGAAGTTTTCCAAATGGATAGGCTACAAGGGAAAATGTCTATTTTTAATGCCGTGACCTACAATCTGTACCATTTTAAAAGGGTTACAAGAACTGAGGTGAGCACCACTACCATGTAGCTCAAGGTGAAGGAAGAATGATTAGGAACAAAGCAATTTTATCTTGTTTAGATCCAATCATCATGCCCCAAACTGACCATAAAACCCTCAGAGCAGTCTCTCCCACTCATCCTGAAGTACCAGCTCCCATTCTTTAGCTGCACTCACCTCTATGGTTCGGTAGTAAGGGTCCAGCAAGAGCTTAGCCAACGCCACAATCTGTGGGGTGCGGTCCCAGCCATCAGAGCAATGCACCAAGACTGGGCGCTGATCACGGTTCACAGCGTGCACCACCAGAAGTGCTGATTTCAGAAGCACGGACAGATGATGGAGCCATTTCGTACTCTCAAGAGCGGAAAGCCAACTATAAAAACAAATGGATAAGGAAATCCTAGAGGTTTTTTTTTATGATTTATTGTATTATGCTCAATAGCTGTCAAATTAAAAAACAGTTCTCCAAAATTTTTCTCTCCAAATATAATGCTACCAAAACAACAGAAAATCTCCAATGACAAAGCAGTCAAAGCTGGGCATGGTAGTACATCCTGAGGCTGAGACGGGAAGATCGCTGCAAGTTTGAGGCCAGCTTGGGCTACACAGTGAGCCCCTGTCTAAAAAACTAAAAAGTTTTATAAAAGAAACAATAGGACCACCTTTGGTTCTAACATCTTAATGGATAATTTCCCGGAGAAGATTAATATTTTTCAGTCCATGGTAGGTAGGTATACATTGCCTAAGAAAAGCAGCCTTATCTGTAATCTTCTGACAGCCACATCTGAGATATAAAACAAGATATTCAAAGGTCTTAAATATGTACTGACTAAAACTTGGTGGCTTCAACAAAATGAATTAGACTCATGCAAATCAGTATAGTGATGGGCAAACAGTAATGTTGGACCATAGCCCAGACTGGATTCGGCAAAGATCTAGAGAACTTTTCTTTCAAAAGGCCTTTTTGAACATCAAGTAACAAGAACTGCTGCTTGGAAGTGATCACAAGCTGACATACTTGGTTTCTTTTCAAATGTGTTACGATTTTGCTTCTTGTGTTCTTTTTTGCTCCTATTTCCCAAAAATGAGTTGTGACTTTTTTTCCCCCCCAGATGCAGTCAGATGTGTAGTTAGGACTTCAGTCCAGTGTGCAGTTAGCACCTTCAAACACTGATTTCTTAGAAGAAGGAATTAATAATTTTCTCAAGGTTTGCCAAGACTATGCTTACTGGACAAGGCTATAAATCTACTAAACCTAGAGGGAATGACTGAATTTTTGGAAGTCTAAGCAAGAGTGTCTTCCCAGATAGGCAAGCAGAGAACAGGATATGGTATGTAATCACTGATTTTATACAGATTAGTCTGGGATACCAATCAGACTGTGACTCCTCAAGAGGCCTGACACCTTGCCCTTCACCCTCCAGCTCAGTCAGTACCTAGTACACAAGAATGAATCCTACTGTTCAATGAATTTGAAACCTGTCATAAAAGATTTTCTAGTCTCATTCTTCACATGGTCTTGAAAGAAACCCACAGATAAGGCTTACGAGCAAAAATTATCTCCTAGTCCCTCCTCCAAACAGAATGTGGAAATAGTTAACAAGAGAACCAATGGATGTTTCTCTTGAACTTGACTGAAATACCAGTTCATGTCATCTACGCCTAAGAGTGAAGTCTGCCAGCTGAAAGATGCTGGGAGACTGCACTGCACATTTTTATGCTGCCTTCAAATTGGAGCAGCAACACAGCACCTCCCTAGCCCTTTACAACCCTAAATAGACAAGAAATGGAGCACTTATAGTCCCTGCAGTTGGAGTCATCCCATCTCTGCTACAGCTTCTTTTTATCCACAAGGTAGGTTTCAATATGCATTATGATCTGCTGTAAATACAAAGCATTACCTTCTTCTTCAACAAAATCCCCCAGATATTCATTTAGACCTGGTGAGAGCTAATTAACATACTTTTTGACACCCGAGTTAAAAAAAAAAATAGCCTTTATTTTTTAAACCTTATATATAATAATTATTTATTGAGACAGGGTCTCACTATGCAGTTCAGGCTGGCCTGAAACTCACAGTGATCCTCCTGCCTTACCCTCCCAAGTGCTGGGATAATAGGCACGTGCCACCACACCAAGGAAAAAGTAGCTTTTAAACAAATTTTAGTATATGGAAGATATTAGAAATCATGTAGTGTTGATCCTTTTTATTTTACAAACAGAAAGACCAAGACCCACAGTAATTAAGCCACTTGACCAAGGTCACATAGGTTCTTGGCAGGTTTCCTGGGTCCTAAATCAGGCTCTTTTTATGCTCCACCTTAAGACAGAGGGTACTGATCACTGGGCGCTGGAATTGCATATTAGATGCAAATGGCTAATCTCAAAGGAAAGTAGAAAACTCATTTCTCGGTCAGGTTGTCTCCCAAAGGACAGTGCTTCACCCTCAAGGCTGACTGCAACTGTGATGAATTTTATCATTTGCAGCCAAGAGTCAGTACAAGTGGTTCAGGCACCATTTGATTTAATAAATCCAATAAAGAAATGCAGCAAAACTTGATATGATTGTGATTATCTGTTGTACAAAACCCAACAGGAAACAACTACAGGCTTCAGCACAAACACCAGAAAAAAGAAAATTCTGTCTTCTCTGGCACTATCTCATATTTTCCAAAATAGTAAAACAGGGGTTTTTAAATATTTATCTGTCCATATCTGTTTTACAGAGCACTGCTCCTAATTTATCTTGTATTCAAACAATACCCTTGCAGGGGGTATTACTTCACTTTCCTCACTGCAAATGCCAGCCATTCATTTCCAATAAGCAATAAAAATCATGTTAATATTCCTGGTAAATAAGAGAGACTAATTCAGAAGTCAGAATCAAACATAAAAGGAACTGACCTAATAACAAATTTAACTCTTTCAGAACACGGGTAAATTGTGACTTCACAGTAAAACAGCCCAGAGTTCACAGCAGGCAAGTGTCACTACAGGACTTCAGAAACCAAAGAATTAAATTTCTTTGGGCTGAAAACAATGTGGCAGAGAATGAAGAGGTCTCAAGGAAAAACAAAAAAACAAAATCAAGAAAACGGTTTCTATTTTCAAAAGTGATGAGATTTGTTCTGGGCTGCACATTTAAAAACATTTCAGGGGGCTGGATTGTTCTCCCAGCTCCTGATTGAGGAAGATGATCTGCAGAAACTGCAAGTATAACTGAAGGTTACCAGGAAACAGAAGGAAAGACACCTCCAAACTCATTATTTGAAAAAGAGCAATGCAAAATTAAAGCCAAGGCCAAGTTCTTACTTTCCCGGATCCGGCATTTGTGTACACAGCAACCGCAGAGATTGAAAACTCCTCCGAATAGAATGAATGTTTGCCATCCCCATAAACACAACTTCACAGTTCGGGTAATACTCTGGAGAAAATAACAATAAAGAGAATGCAAATATGTTGAATTTAAAGCCCACACGACCAAACTTAAAAGAAGCAAACTGGCTATAAAGCAAACCCATTGCAGTTGCTGACTAATGAAACTGCAATGTTGTGATGGTTGACTATTATCCCTGTGCTATATTCTAAAAGGAAAACAGTCCTTGAATTTTAGCCATCTTTGTGAAAGGGTTGGAAAAGAAAGGTTAGGGCTGTTTTAAAGCAGATACTCACACAAAATAAAAGCTGTTATTTTTAAAAAGAAAGGCCTGTAAACTTCCATAACACTCCAGGTTTACTTCCTGGGCCTCATCTAACTTGTGGTTCTAGAAAAGCTTTGAAAAGAATTTGGCAGAACAATGTCTTCAGGCATTCAAATTTCACCTTGTACAGCTGATTTCGACTTCTAGCTTAGATCACAGCTGAATAAGTACTGTGTGTCTCTATCTGCACCATCAGCACACAACTGTCATTGAGGGGTCCTGCCTTGAGGAAGCCAGCATTCAAATAACAGGGGCACTCACTACAGGTTAGGACAGGGGCATCTCTACTGGAATTCTACACTTATTGCTTTGATCTTCACACCACGTTTTCTAATGAGACACCCTGTGAGGAATTTGCTAGGAAGTCAGGGATGAGCATATCCACTGTTAAAGACAACAAAAACCCTTCAGAAGGCTGAGAAATTAAGCCACTGAAGCAGTATCATGGAAGAAGATCTGCTTTATCACCTTAAAGGCAGACAGAAGAAGGAAGATTTGGCTTCAATGTACCTTTTCCTTTATTTCTGCTTGAAAAAGAACACATGCTATTGAGAATTCTGGCTCTCTCAAGACAGGGTAAAGAATATGGCTTGTCATTCATTTCAAATTGAGGGTTAAGTCCAGGTTGAGCATGGGGCTGGTCTCACAAGGACAGAGTATTGGAGAATAAAGCACCAAAAGTCTCACCTGGGCATTCACAGCCTCCTCCTTTGGCTCGGTTTGCTACAGCTGCCGCATAGGATCGTGCATCCAAGATCAAAAGCTTCTGTGGTTGGACAGATAAACCCTCTGCTCCTGAAGCATTAGACAGAGAAGAATCTAGGGACATCAGAAGAGGAATAAAAGCTAAATGAGCCTGTCTCTCCAAGAACTGTGAAAATTAGAACCAGAGGGTCATTATAGTACCCACCCACCCCCCCAAAAAGAACAAAACAGACTCAGGTAAAAATCTCCAACCAGATCATTACTACGTAGAACTTCTATTTTCTCTTTTGCCTCATTAAAAACTGATGAGAATTTGTTTTCCAAAACCAGTTCCTGTAGCACACATGGAGAACTATACAGCTCAATGTCCTACATATCATTTCTATGCTTGTAATTCTTTTACCAGGTCTGATATTTCCTTCCATGGACTGCAGACAATTCAAGTCCCCACCAAATATGTACTCCATTCTTGTCACACTGGTCAAGAAAAAACACTCTAGGTTCTTAAAGTTTGAAACAAAAGGTCTTCTAGCTCTTTGCCAAGAGCCATGACTCCTCAAACACATTAAATCACCTCTCTTCCATAAAACTTCTTATTTTCTAAGGAAAAGGCCATTTCAGGAAAAGGTCGTCAGATGCTATAAAGATTGATGCCATGGATCCAGGGAGCATCTTACCAAACTCCACATCAGACAGGTCTCCTCGACTGGGAAAATCTCGAGAACTGTTCCTAGTTGATAACTTGCTGCCACTCGATCGGGAGTCAGAAGCACATGCTTTGGCTACTGACTGTACCAAGTGCTCATCATCTGCATTTCGCCAGCCCCACCAGCTGACCTCTGGCTGTCCACAGCGGGCAATAACAGCTCCATTGTTCTGGTGTCTGGATGAGGAACAAGGGAGGACAACTGCATCATTCAAGGGGCTCCAATTCAGATATTCTGTACTCACACGAAAAGGTGGATTTTAAGCACCTTAATGGAAAGCCTGGCTCCAAAATACTGAGTTAGCTTCAAGTTTTCTCAGCATTAAAGGAGGCAATAATCTCATGTACCCAAAGTAAGAACAAATGTTATATGCATCTCTCTCAATTATTATACCATCGCAGAGATCTCTATAACGTTATCAACAAGATCATAAATGCATACTCTTAGAGAAAGTAAGTTAATATTTATATAATTTAAATATCTGAATAGTGTGGAGATTAAGGTAAAAAAATCTACAAATACCACGCTAATTTCACTACTCAATAATGGAGGACTAATTTCCTTTTCTTACACAGAACCTAAATAACCTGGCATAGAAGATGCTGAAGTAGAGAAAAATGTGTCGTCTCACTGACTGATGAGGGTGCACCACAATGGCATACTCTTGGCTGGCTTGGGGACTCTTTTCACACAGATCCCACTGTTGGGACTGAAATATTTACCTGGCTCACAGCAGACTGCTTTAACAAATCTCCTGTGATTTCATGAGTCACAAAGTACTCTTATTATAGGTAGACAGCTCAAAGAGCTCTTAGAAGGAAAGAAACAGCAATCTCAGTAAGCCATACTGTGATATATCCTTTTTCAAGAGCAGAAATCATACTTATAATCTACTGCAAGATGTTATTAAAATCCCAAGTGTGTCCTAATTGGGCTATTATAAGTAATTAAAAAGTTAGAAAAATTATTTAGAAATAAAAAGGGATAAAGTACCTACACATGCCACAACACTGATGAATGCTAAATATGTTACACTAAATAAACCACTCACGAAAGGCCGGATACTGTATTTATGTGAAGTATTTAGAATAACCAGATCTACCGAGATAGAAAGTAGATTACCAGTTACTGGTTACCTGGGAATAGGAAGATTAAAGACGCAGTGAGGAGGGACTGCTACTGGATATATGATTTCTTTTTTAGGTGATTAAAAATGTAATAAAATTAATTATAGTGATGGCTGCACAACTTAGAACACTATTTACTAGTCACTGAACTGTATACTTAAAAGGGGTAAATTCTATGTGGCATATCTTGATAAGGCTTTTTTTTAATTATCAAAGTAATCGACTCATTACAAAATTATTTTTAAAACACAGGTAACTGTTCCTCAACTCTGTATCTCAAAGGAAAATGTTTACACCTTCCTTTAAAATTTTTAAAAAATAAACATATAGTTTAAATAAAAAATACTACTGAATCTATATCTTTTTCAGTGAGTAATGTGAGAAAGACTTGTTTTTAATCCTGAAGTTCACAAGCAATAAATTAAATCTGGCAATAATCAAATCCCACTGGCCTATCTATTTGCTTGTGGTTCTTAACTCCTCCCTCACTAGGAGAGACAAGTAGCCCAAAGTACTTTATACACTGCCAACAAGCTCAAGGGGCTCACATGCTGCATGAGGACAATATGGAAATAAAACCTCACTGATTCTTAATATGCCTTCTTGCAAACAATGGGTACTAGGTAACCACTGAGCTGAAACACTGCAAGCCTTCTCAGCAAAGGCACGCAGGACCTTTTCTCTTCTTCCCCTGCAATGCTTTCCACCAGCACTGTTTAATAAGAACAGCAGATGGCACTCTTTAGCCTGGGTCTTGGGTTGTAAAGACCACTGGCCTTTACAATATTTAAGATTTCAACTGGGCTACTCTAAATTAGACTGCATGAATGATAAACACTATACAGTAGTTTAAAGTCACTAAACACTATTTCTATCACTTTAACAGGAGAGGCAGGAAAAGTACAAAGCTTAAGATCTTGGCCCAAAAGATAAGGTCACCTACTAAAACAATGAATGCTTCAATTTACAAATAAATAATGGCTTTAACAATCCCTACCTTAGAATCAGGCATGCTCCTTATATGACTAGGAATTTCTAATAATCACCACATGCTGGCGAAGATTAGAAAAAGGGGGTTGCGGCAAACTGCACTACAGATGGGTGCCGTTCTCACCATCTTGCCATGTTAGAGAAATCTGTTTTCGATTATAAATCCAATTAAATGTTCTCTCATCACAGTGGGAGAAAGCCCTACTCAGGCACTGGTTCAGCATGGTACTGTCAAGCAACTGCTGCTAGCAACCTCAGGAGTCATTAGTGGAGTCTATAGTCAACTAAACTCTGTAAATTTATGTCAGATTCAGTGGTATCCTGCCGCTTAAACTGGCAAAGCAGAGAAGTGGTGGAGTGTTCCAAACATTCAACATACCACTTACAAAACTCACAAATAATACAGCAACCCAGGCTGGAGCTCAGAAATACAAGATACTTGTTCTGAATCAGAGACCAGCTCCAGGAAGCCTGTTTTATGTACATACATGGACTGCAAGAACCTTCATTTTCTGGAAAAAATTGTGAGTAAAAATTTTCATTTATGTATATGCTCTAGAATTGCTACAAGAAGAAAAAACCCTAAGGCTAATGCCCTCTAAAATAAATTTTAGAAAAGAAAAAAAAAAGGCATCTCATTTGTATTGCATTTTAACAAGTGTTTCTTCAACTAGCACTCTTAGGCTTCTCTGTCAAAAAGCAGAATTTGCCAAAAGCCTCTTACTTTGAAAATGAGAGTATCCCTCCCCCCAGTCCCACCCTTATGCTCAAAGCCATCAAGCCCAATGAATACCCGGCTGCTGATCTAACACAGCTGTTGGCCAGAACACCAGCTGGCCACCTTTCCTATTCCATTGGGGCTGATCACTGATAAGACTCATAAATCCCATTGGCTTTCACTACTGTCTAATTCCCATATCATCCGTACCACTTGAGTGATAGGTAAATTTGATGACCTACTTTTCTAGGAGTGTCTGAAATTAAGAGTGATGAAAATTGAAATTGAAAACTTAATGGGTTCCACTGGGCCAGAGCAAGTATCTTCACAAGGAAAAATATCTCCTCCTACAACCTTAACATTTCAGTGAAAGGCCAGGCGTGGTGGTACACACCTGTCATCACAACACTCAGGAGGTTGAGTCAGGAGAACTGCTCCAAGTTTGAAGCCAGCCTGGGCCACAAAGTGAATTCAAGGCCAGCCTGAACTGTATCATGAAAGCCTATCTCAAAAAGACAAAATAAAATTTTTTTTTCAGTGGAATTCCTCCTGGCATCAAAGAATTTCTAACCAAGTCATTGTTTTTGGCCAATTCAAGGAGAATCCAAAAAGTCTGCACACTAGAAAAATGAAGAATGTTAACCTTACATGTGGTAATAGTGACTTCCTAAAAATTTAGTATGATTCTCTAAGAACTGAGATAGTGACTGGTACAAGCAAGCCTAAGGAATATAATCAACTCTAAACACTGCTTATTAATAGGCCCTCATTCAGCTGTCACAGCGTACCAGCGAAGTAAGAACTACCATTCCCATTCTCCTCTTTAGGTACAGTCTGGGATCGGTTTGGAAATGTACTCCATGTGGCACACCAACAAATGTCAGAACAGGTTTATGCCTCCAAAATCTGTGCTCTGCTACCACTCTAGCAATCCCTCCTAAAACCTGCTTCACTTGACATTCAAGCTTCAGAGATCTCTGAAATTTTCTACTCAGCACTTACCTTTTCTCTAAATGTTCGCTCTCAAAACTGAGTTTTTCAACATGTCTAAGTGTCAACCACAAAGATAGTCATAGATGATTCAACTCTATTCTCCCAGAACTCGTGTTCTAGGACTCCTCTCAATCCAAAGGCCTTGATAACATATGAAATGAAATGCAGTAAGCACACTGTCTTCTCACAGAATGAACGTAAGAAGGATCCTGAAACAGCAAGTACCATCACCTTTCTATTAGTAGTTTCTCATCAGTGTCAACTGAACCATCAACGAGTATTCTTGATACAGTGAATACCAATGTGTACTGGAAGAGCAACTTTAGGAATTCCTAAAGGAAGTACTGACTTGCCTGAAAAGTTCTCCGAACCCTCTTCTCTCTACCCAAGTTAGCAGCAGCAGTGAATAGGCAGTTGTACCAGCCCAGCTGGTTAAACTCACTTACCTGTAGACAACAGCAGGGATGCGCTTCCATGACCTGAAGCTTGCTACACTTTCTAGTTCTTTGTCAGTGATCCATGCAGGCACTATGAGCTCTTGTGGATAGCTACCACATAACCTAATATATGGAAAATGAGAAAGGGGGAGAGGAAAAGAAGAAAATAAAGAGGAGAAGGAAGAAAAAGGAGAGAAGGAGATACCCAGTGAGCCAGCATAGGGATATTGATCATACTACCACAAAGCCTGTTAAAGAACAATGAGGGTGGCTGGGGAGGTAGCTCAGTTGGTAGGGCATTTGCCTAGCATACGTGAGGCCCAAGGTTTAATCCCCAGCACTGCAAACCGACAAAAAAGGGAATGGGAAGCATTATTTCAATTTGGATCTACTGAAAACTAAAATGGGTTGCTGAAAGTGTTTCAGGTTTCTGTATCTATTTTATCTCCAAGTGATACTATCTTGGACTGTTCTACTTGATGTTGCCCTTTGGGAATCTGGCAAATTGCCAATGAAAAAGAGGGAAGTAAGGGGCATTCTCTTTATTCTCCATGGCAACTATTACAACAAATATATAGGTCATTTCTAACTACACGAGCACCCAAAACAATCACAGAAGCAAAAACCTGTGTTGCCTTTATCAGACCCCTATTCTTCTAGGCTTATGCGGAAGGGAAACATGTAAAGAAGGACAAAAACTCACAACTCCAAGTTTCCAGAGACCTCTTAAGATTAAGTTACTCTTTGATCTGAACCAAACAGGTTGTCCTAATTATAGGTAAATGGAGCAGCCGTGAGTATACAATAGCAATACCACATGCTAGACTATGTGCATATATGATCATAGTACTATTGAGCCAAGGTAGTAAGGTGAATAAGTTATTAATCATAATTCCTATAAAATATACAGAACTATACTTGAGAAAGAAGTTCTCTTTTCATTAGGAAAGATGCTAGCTGCATGCTAGTCAAGATGGTGACCCACGAGCCTGTAATTCTGATAGGTTTTTATTTACAGGATAATCTCTTTATGGGTAACTTCATCTTCCTTTTTAATAATGAAGGCATTGGGGCCTGTAATCCAAATCTGAAAACGAACTCAATCACCTTTACCACCACCACTACCCTCTGCCCTAACCTATCCTATGCATTACACAGAAACAGGTAGAAAAACATACTGAAGCCAGGTGTGGTGTACACCTGTAATCCCAGCGCTCGAGAGTCTGAGGCAGGAAGTTCACCGGGAGTTTGAGGCCAACTTGGGCTACACAGTGAGTTCAAGTCCAGCCTGAACTACATAGTGAAATACTGTCTCAAAAACAACAAAACCACATACACTGGGGCTTAGGAATTGGGGGTTTTGATTATGCTGCACCAACATTCTCTCAGTTTTCCATTTCCAGAAGAATGAAATATCAGAAATTTAAAAGCCACTGATCCAGGAAAATGGCTATGACTGAGAGAAGCTTTATAAACTTCCTAACACCCACTCACAAACTCCTAAAAATAGCCCAGGACACAGTGATCATGGTTAATACTCCAAGCATGAGTCTCAATCATTTCATTTTGTTTTCAATTCAAGAGTAGATTTGAATTTCATTTTTCCTTTGTAATAGGAAGAACTCTTCAATGCCCAAGACCAGTTCTGAAATGGAACTAGTCAACTCCAAGATAAGAAGCTATTTTTACATTCTATATTAATCAGGGATTTTTTTTTTTAAAGCAAGCTTGATTTAATTCAGTTTTTTACTCCAATTTTCTGAATATGTTCACTATCCCACAGGTGCTGCACTACCCAGAAGTCAGCCCTTCTGCAAGGATCAGCCACTCACTTGTGGATAAGCACTTCATTCTTAAATAGCCAGTGGGGGAAACATGGGTTGCATTTACCAAAGCCTGTAGCAGCCTCAAACTCTAAAAAGCCTCTCGCTCCTCCAGTCTTTACCCTTTTCCTTGCCATTAAGTATATACCATTAAGTATAAGGAGTTAGGTCTGCAAATCCTAACTCCTTTCAAGATCCCAGGTTTTTAACGCCCATGTTAAGAGTTGCTGCACACAGTAATAAACTGTAGCTTTTCTAATAAAAATGAAACCCTCTGATGGCCTGCCATAAACAGACTAGGAAAATGGCTGTAATCTGAGACAGCTCATGCGACAATGAATGAATAGTGCTACAAGGAAATTTAAGGAAATATGAAATTAAATCTCCTGGGCAATTTTGATTTATGAAACCAGGATCACCAAACTCATAGTAGTTAACTGCCCCCTCAACCAATTTCCTACATGATTTAAGGAAACAGGTGATTCTATCTATCTATCTATCTATCTATCTATCTATCTATCTATCTATCTATCGTACTGGGAATCAAACTCAGGACCTTGCCCTTGCCAGGCAGGCACTGTGCTGCTGAGCTATATCCCCAGCCCAATGCTAAATATTTAATAATGGTTACAACAGTACTTAATGATTAAATGATCCTAACTATGAAGTCAGTTTTCGATCAACATATTGAACATACTGAAATACATATGTCTATTTCATAGGGTCTGTAGCAAAATTAGTCATAAAAACTAGCTCCTAAGTGTGTTTTGCCACTTCCTAAAGATCACTGATATTATCACACTAATGTGCTGCCAACTAGCCACGAGAATAATGGAAACTGCCTGCCTATAGGTAAATACAGTATTATCCAGACATGTATGTACCAGGAAGAACAGAGGTCTGGAGGTGGGTAGAAAGAAAGACTCCAGGATCCTGCTAAGGAACACTTTCTACTCTAGCAACAACAATAGGAACAGAAGGTTCAAGAAGTACTCTGAAGATCACACACTCAGACCTAATATATAAACTCTATTTCAAAAACAAAGTCTAGGTTCAAATATTCCACCACATAAGAATTTGGTGTTTCTATAAAGGGACTGGCTATGAAACACAGTCTATAGGGACCCATATAACTCACTTGTATTTCTCATTGATGTTGGAAATCCTCCAGGCATTGTTCATATCAAAACCCATCCGCTCCACTTCATTCTTAAACCTTGACGTTACATGCTCTCCTAGGGCCAGAGACAGAAAAGAAATGAATACTGCTTTGAAAAAGAGGTGAAATAAAAAGCAGGGTTATCTTGCTCCATTATATTTAAAGTTCTTTAAAAGGCAGCAACTGTATAAATAATAACATGTATTTAGCTCTGGCAGATGAAGACTAAAAAAGGAAAGAAAAAAATTAACTTTTCATGAAGAACTGTGTTATCTCATCTAACCCCTACCATCACCAAACTTCTTTTACACAGGAAAAGACAGATGGAAGAGGTTATCATTGCACATTTTTCTGCTCCCCAAATTCATGCTCTTTCTTATCACTACACTGGTTAGTTTCCTACTTCTACATTCAGATCAACAGTATACATGTGAAGAAATAAAACCAGTTAGATCATCAAGAGTAGTAACGTGATCTATTAATTTGTCTGAAAACTTCTGGGTCAGATTTTAGAATCTGAGAGGTTTTGGGACTTTAAAAAGGTAAAATGGTGCTTATAATATTAGCTCACAAACAACAGGGGCTACTAAATAAGTGTTAATACTTCTTCAATGAAATACAAAGATAATTCACGGCAAATGGGATAAATACAGCAACAAATACTTGTCAGCACAGATCATGTCAAGCTACCAAATAGGGTAAGAAAAGCTTTTAGGATTTTTGGAGCCTTTTAGATATAAAACTGTAGGTAAGTGGTCATGGAAACCTAACTGCCAGTACCTGTAAACAGCAGGAAATTCAAACTAAGTAAAGTCTTGAACATCTGTAAGAACATCTACCCAAGTAGGTATAATCTGGCTACATCTGGCTGATGAATTTGGTTGAACCTAATTAAATGTCAGTAAGTGGAATTCTTACTTTCTTCCTTAAAAATATACCCAGTCATAGGCAGTAATTTTTTAAAAACAAAAACATTAAGCAGACCTCTAACAGACACAATCTCGTGTTACAAACTGTAAAATAAATACTGGTGGGGGCTATAAGAAACCACAACAAATAAAGTTACGAAACACAGTGCTTTGGTGATCAAAATACAAAGCTTTGCTCTCCCTGGGAGAGAAGGTATAGAAAAGGAAACAGTAATTACTTGAATGGACAATTCTGTAAAACTACTTCCTATTTCAACTGCTTTTCCTGAGCTTAAGCTAGACGTGATATGTTTCCTGAAGGAAAGGTATAAAAAGATGAGGTTCGGAGATGCAAGAAAAATAATAGCCGATTCTGCTTTTTGGAAATAAATTATGGAAGCATGTAACAAGATTCCAAATAGGAAAAACGTATCTGAATTAAAAAATGCTATCTGTCTACAAACTGTCAGGAATACTGAACATCAAGAATATTAAATGCATAGTCTTTTGCTCAAAATCAGAATCTACAAGCTACAAAATGACAGCAACCTCCAAGTTCATTAATGAAAGAGAAGATATCCTTCCCTCCCTATACAGCTTCACAATATTGCAAAAGTACTTTTATTAAGTCTTTTACATTAGTAACTCTCTTAGAATAATAAACACATAAAATGTCCTAAAAAGGACCTTCTGATTTAAAAATAATCAGTGGTAAAATAATAATGATGATAAAACTACAACTGCCACCAGCAGCAATTTACTACACAGAACCAATACACAAAAAAAGGATTAGAACCACCATCCAGAGCACAAAATTCTAACTACACAGAGAAACATACTCAGTAGTAGTCTTAGGAAATCTGTTACTTCAAATTCCTTAAGAAGTTTTAACTGTCTTTGTATCCTCTAAAGTAGTGATTTCACAAACTTTAAAACTAGCCATAGTAAGAATTAAATTGTCCATCACAAATGCAAGTATTTCTTAATGGGGATTCATAAAGCAATACTCACTCTTACTGTCATGCCTTTTGATATTTCCTGTTCTAATTCATTTCTTCAAAATTTTATTTCATAACCCACTAACACAGCCAAACCTTTAGTTTAAAAACCACTACTTCCAAAAAAAATTGAGCAGCAGATTTTATATACATGGACAATTTAACTTGTGCAAACTGTTTTGGATGTTCACTTAGTATCTATTTAGTCAAAAAAGTGAACACAAAATATACCTACTGCTAAATTTCCCTTCTATCTCAGAATTCCCATGTCTCAGGTAATTCAATACTGGATATGTTGCAATATCCCAACTTATATACTGGACCCATACAGTTTTGTTGGCTTTTATATTTCCATGTAAATTTTTCCTGTCTGCCTCCTCCACCCCCAACATTTTTAACATTTAGCTTTTTTATGGGGGTGAAGAAAGGGGCTCTGGGAATTGAACCCAGGACTTTCACAGTGAAGTACATCTCTAGCTCTTTTTGTTTTCAGACAGGGTCTTGTTAAGTTGCTAAGTTGTCCAGGCTGCACTTGACCTTGTGATTCTCTGGCTTCACAGAGTGCTGGGATTACAGGTGCATACTTCCTAATGCGTAGTGTTTTTCTTATACTACAATGACATACAGTCCAACAATTTTCCTTTCAGAGGATAAAATCTTTTAAAGAAATGTGCTCCCTCTATCCCAAACACAAAGTCAATCTACAATTTAAAAACAAAATTCCTCCCAAAAATCTAGTTTCCTGGCTGATTCTGAGTACTGAAACCAACTACACACGCCAGCTAAAGGCCTGTGATAGAAGAGACAGACTTATACCCATCAAAATGAAGAAGCAGACCAGATCAGAGAAAAGGTTTGAATTTCCTGGACTGTATTCAAGCCTGGAGTCATAGGTTGTTTGTGGATAAACATGACGTATGACCTATTTAAGGAGAGCTAGGAGAGCTAGGCTTAATGCTGAACAAGCAGCTCAACTGCCTGTTGTCAGGACTCTAATGTTGGACTCCAGATTAATGGCTCCAGTAAGAGCCATCACCCAGAAGCCAGCTAAAATGAGCTGTGTGTCTTTATTTTTGGTACCGGGAATTGAACTCACAACCTCACGCTTGCCAGTCAGGCGTTATGCCACTGAGCTACACCCACGGCCAAGCCAGCTGAAATGAATCTGGAGTTGAGGAAGTTCAGGGCACAGCAAAAAGAAGCTTTTGAGTCTGCTCATTTAGAATGTGAAATAGGGCTCACAGCAGAGTCAAAAGTTTGGCAAGGCTTTTGCAGCAGGTTTCACCAGTCAACTCCAGTAGCAATGTTGAGACTTCTTCCAAAGTGAAATAAGACCTACAGCGATGGTCACAGTATTGCTGGCTTAACTAAAATTTATATGAATACCAGGACAATGATGTAATTCCCCCATTTTCATCCTCTCGGACACATTCTACTCCTAACACGGTACAGAGAAAAGAACCCATAAAAGGTTATATTAATTGCTAAGGACTAAACTACTTTTAGTCTTTGGTATGTGGAAAGCTAGTTTTTCCAACACCATTTATTAAAGAGGCTATCGTTCTTCCAGGAATGTGCATGGCCCCTTTGTCAAAGATCAGGTGGTTGAGTACATTTGGAGTTGTTTCTGCATCTTCTAGTCTGTTCCACTAATCCTCAGGTCTGTTTTGTTGCCAGTACCATGCTGTTTTTATCACAATACATTTGTAGTATAATTTCAGGTCAGGAAATTATGATGCCCTCTGACTTGCCTTTGTTACCCAGAATTGCTTTTGCAATTCTACGTCTTCTTTTGGTTCCAGATGAACTTTAGGTATGTTTTCTGTGAGGTATGCTAATGGTATTTTGATTGGGATTGCATTAAATCCACATAGCCATTTTGGGAGTATAGTTGTTTTCACTAAGTTGGTTCTTCCTACCCAAGAACAAGGGCTATCTTTCCATTTTCTGATAATCCTCTTTGATCTACTTTTTCAGAATAGTGTAGTTTTCAATGTAGAGATCTTTTACTTCCTTCGTCAGACTGATTCCCGAGGAGTTCACTTTTTTTTTTGATGCTATTGTGAAGGGTGTTGTTTCCCTAATTTTTCTTTCAGTGAGTTTACTATTTGTGAACAGGAATGCTATTGATTTTTGAGTGCTGACTTTGTACCCAGCTACTCTACTGAATCTGGCTATTAAATCTGACATCCTTTGGTGGATTTTTTGGGATGTTCTATGTAGAGTATCATGTCATCTGCAAATAATGATAATTTAACTTCTTCCTTTCCTATCATTATTCCTTTTATTTCTTTCTCGTGTCTCATTGCTCTGGGCAATGTTTCCAGAACTATACTGGATAGGAGCAGTAATAGTGGACATCCTTGTCTTGTTCCTGATTTTAATAAATTAAAATCTGAAAGGATCAACAATCTAAATATTAAAACAGAAACACTAAATCTGCTGGAAGATAGAGTAAGTAGAACTCTGGAAGACAAAGGTATAGGCAGACTATGAACAAAACTGGGACCACACAGGAACTATCACAAGGAATCAACAACTAGGATCTCATTAAAAAGCTTTTGCACAGCAAAAGACATCACCAACAGAATGAAAAGACAACCAACAGAGTAGGAAAAAAATCTATGCCAGCTGCTCTTCAGACAAAAGACTAACATCTAGATCATATAAAGAACTAAAAAACGTCAGACTCCAAATTCAAAGACCCAATCCAAAAAATAGGCTTCTGAGATGAATAGACATTTCTCAGAAGTAGTACTACAAACAACAAATATATAAATGAAAAATTGTTTAACATCATTGGTCATCTGAGAGACACAAATTAAAGCAATGCTGAGGTTCCAGCTTACTCCAGAAAGAACAGCTATTATCAAGAAGACAACCAATAACAAATGCTGGCAGGGCTGTAGAGAAAAGGGAATCCTTCTCCAATGTTAGTGAGAGTATAGGCTGGTGTAACCACCATAGAAATCAGTGTGCAGACTCCTCAAAAAGCTAGGATTAGCAGGCCCGTTTGACCCAGTTATTCCCCTCTGGGTATCTGCCCAGAAGAATTAAAAGCATCATATTACTGCAATATATGTGCACCCATGTTTATAGCAGCACAGTTTGTAATAGCTCAATCTTGGAAGCAACCCAAATGCTCATCAACCAATGAATGGATAAAAATAAGGTGTGGGTTTTTTTATACCATGAAGTATTACCCTGCCATAAAGAAAGATAAAATTAAGACATTTATAGTTAGATGGATGGACCTTGAAACAATAATCCTAAGTGAAATAAACTTGACACACATGTGTAAATATTGCATCATCCCTCTGGTGTGAGAAACTGAAAATGTAAATAATAACGTAAGTAAGCGTACAATAGATATTGTGAGACAGGAAGAAACTGTTGAAAGAGAAATAGGGAAAGAGGTAAGGAAAGGAAAAAAGAGAAAAGAAGGATAAAATGAAAACTGAGCTTTGTGAACGGGACGGGATGGGGTTTGAAGAAAAGGGGATGGGAATTGGGGGGAGGGGAGGAATCAAGATTTATCATGTACAGATACACATTCCCTATAATGAATGTGGTTATTATGTATTCCTAAATTGTACCAATAAACTGAAATTTTTAAAAAATGAAAAAAAACCAAAATTATCAATAACTAAAAACTAAACTAATTCCTACTCCTCTGCTCTATGCATGTAATCTCATATACTAGGGCAGAATATACAAGGGCATCATTCTGAAATATTTCAGGGGTTGTCTTATCCTTTAGAGGACTTATAAGAATGTGGTTGTTTGGAATGCTCATATTTGGTGAATTGTACTGTAGCTATCACTAACACTCAACACTACAGGATACAGACAGAAGAAACAGGTTAACTGGCTTTAAAAATTACCCCACAGTATTTTTTGCTAAAATCTAGTTTTTCCTATGTACTCCATAGTGAAAATAAATAAAAGGAAAGTCACACATATACACCCATTCAAACAAAGTCATTAAAATACAGTTAAGATTCCATATGAGTAGAGGCAGGTTTCCTTTACTGTGGGCTGTGCATCTTAGGAAGAAACAAGACGCAACCTTTAATTATAGAGAATTTCCAACCAATCAATTATTGTGACATTATCTTTAGTTGTATAATTTCCAAACATTTTTCATAAGCATGGCACATAGGAGACATTTAAATATTTCCTAATTGAACTCTGCACTAAATATCAACATATTAGATCATATTTGATCTGCAAGATCTTGGGCCGGGCATGGTGTTGCACACCTGTAATCCCCGCACTTGGGAGACTGAGGCGGGAGGATCACTGCGAGTTCGAGGCCAGCCTGGGCTACAAAGTGAGCTCAAGGCCAGCCTGAACTACACAGGGAGATCCTGTCTCAAAAGGACCAAAAAAAAAAAAAAAAAGATCTTTGATCAGTTTGGGCAGAAAGAATATGAATGTCCCAATCTGAAGAACAAAGGAAACCAAGGGGCAGAAAGGATAAATGACTCGCTTAGAATTATTTTCAATTAAACAGTACAGTATAGGTTTGAAATCCAAGTTTTTGAACTTAAAAATCAGTACTTTATCCCTTCCATGTCCCCAGGTATCAGAAGCCCTGAAAAAGCCAGGCATGGTGGTTGCATGCCTATAATCTTAAAAGGCTGAGGCAAGAGGATTACCTGGAGTTGAGGCCAGCATGGGCTACAGTGTGAGTCCAAGGACAGCCTGACTACATAATAAGACCTTGCCTTAAAAAGAAAAGAACACCCCTGAAAAGACACTGGATATTGTGGTTCTCTCCCTGGCAATGGCCAAAGAATACCAGATGTCATGAGGTAGGGAAGGGTCTCAGGACCCTCCTCCTTAGGACAATGCTACCCATAAATAACAGTAAAATAAGAATAAAGCTTTCACATAGTAAATCTTAGTAATATCCTAAGAGTTGGCCTAAATACAAAAGAAACAACTAAAATTATCAAAACAATAAAGTCCCTTAAAAAAAGATGACGATTTTTCATCTTTGGCTGGCAACCCAAAATTGGGGAATACTTCTTGGAGTTAGAGATCTTAAAATAAATCATAGTTCTCATATAACAATGCAATGCAATGTACTCCTTAATTATTCTAGGAGATAGTAGAAAGTAAAAAATATGTAAGATGCAATCGTTGAAAACTCAGCAAATATATGAGATTTGTGCACTTCATAGCCTCTAACTAATCATTTAAAAAACTCAAAACTTGAAAACAGCCATAAACTGAAAAATAAAATGTGATGGCATGTCAATAAACGATGAGAAACAGGAGAAAAAAAAAAAAAAAGGGAGTGGGGCAATGGTTAAGAGAGTAAAGTGAGAGATGGTTTAAGTGCCCTCACATAAACTTTCAAAGCTGGTGCCGTCTCTAGTGGTTGACTATGGGTGTTACCCACTGGGACAGGCTTGGAAGAAGTTTGGATTCTCAGCCTTTTCCTGAGGCTCCACCAAGGCAGATGCTTCTATTCTTGAAGCTCTGTATCCACAGAACCCCACAGACTTGACTCTCAATAAGTGAGGGCTGGTCTTAATCCACTTCTTTTAATGACTAGCACTGGGTCTTGGCAATAATCTTTAACCCTGAGCCTTTCTTTTGTTCCTAAAACAGACAAACCAGCCTACCCTATTTGATGAGATCATGAAGACCAAACAAAAGTATTTATATCAAAGCATCTTTTTAAATAAGATAATACTTATGTTCTAAGTATTTTAAATAAAATAATCTGAGCCAAAAGTTTTAATCAGTGATGAGCAGGGAACAAAGTGATTATATACACAGCTAGATTAGCTTTAAAGGTTTATAATTACTCAGGACTGACTTAGAATATTGAAGATTCTGGATTAAAATTACAAATTCAAGGGAAAAAGTCTGCTGAGGCAGGATGATCACAAGTTCAAGGCCAATCTGGGCAGTGCAGTGTGACCCTGTCACAAAAAAAGGCTAGGTAGGCATTTAGCTCAGTGGTACAGTGCCTGCTGTTATGCACAAGCTCCTGGGTACTATCCTCAGTGACATACACACACAAACACACACAGACACAGTCTCCAAAGTAAACACTCCAGGAGGGCTCACAGCTTCTAAACCTGACATACTGAAGAGCCACTGATGGACCAGCAAAATTTATTTATGGTAGCATAAAGTTTACAGAAAACTATATACAAAGAAATGACACGATCTTGAGTTGTCATTTCAGAAGAAGAAAGATACTGAAGAGGACAATGACAACATGAGGAGTTAGGAAACCTAAATTTCAGTACAGGCTGTGTGTCTAATTGAAGGTGAGGAAGACACGTGGCCTCTCTAGATCTGTTTGTCTCTAGTTTCTTCATCTATAGGCAGAAAGAGGTGATAACAGGTCACCTATGACTTAAAAACAAATGCTATGATAGCAAGAGGCCATTTTCTATTTCACTAATCTCTATCGTCATACCTGTGTATCTCTGTCAATGCTATCTACTATCTAATGTTCTTTTCCCCATTCTTTATCAATTTATTCCCATTCAACCTCCAAAATCTACACATAAGTCATTTTTAATGCAAAGTTTTCCCAAACACATGCACAAAACTCGCAGCTCCCTTCCATTCAGGATATCTATGAACCTTTTTATAATTGCTTTTAGGTCTAGCAGGATGTCATACCAAATCCAGTATTTTTCCTTTTCTCTAGAAGGAGAAACCATGTTCTAATTACACTTAGAAGAAGAATGGGCACATGCTAGGTACTCCATAAAATATACACTGATTGAATACAAGAAAGCCAAGGTATGCCATTTCATGTTAAGTGTACCTCCAGCTTAGCTTGATAAGGCTCCTGGCCATCTACACATTTTAGAAAGCCCTACCTGGTCTGCACAGGTCTCCATGTTGTTCTTTTTCACTGGCGTAGACCTCCATGCACCAAGCGTGGTATGCAAATGAAAAGAGATCTTCTATTTTAGCAGGTGGTCGAATTGCATTATTCAGCCTCTTGAGCCAATCTTGACACTGCTCAAATGTTGAGAACTGACACCTTTGCAAAGCCAAACAAATATGAATGTAATCAGATAATAATGGACTATGAACTCTAAGGAAAGTCACCATTTTAAGACTCCCTATTCATAGTGAAGTGGTTAATTAACTCCAATGAAAAACACATCACAAGTAATCACTCACACATTCACTACTATTTATAATAAAAATGGGCCAAACAAATTTTAGTCAGCAGTGCAAACAAAAAGAAGGTGGACAGGTATGAAATCTATTCTTTTAATTTATGAAACCTCTTTCGCGATTAAGGACAACTACTGAAAAAAAATGGCAACTACCCTTTTCATGGATGAGATCCCATTCCACTTCAGTTGTATGGTTATCCTTCTTAAAAAATGTTTAGAAAGTCCTTTTTGTTTTGTTGTGACATAACAGACCGTGCTAAAAATAAAAAGGCACTATTTTTAGCCAGTTAGTGAGGGAAGGAGGGAGGGAGGGAGGGAGAGAAGGAGGGAATGTGTGTGTGTGTGTGTGTGTGTGTGTGTGTGTGTGTGGTGGGTACCATTGTTTGGGCTCTACAGGGGACTGAACCCAAGATTTTCTCACTGATCTACATCCCTAGCCACTTCCACACCCCTTTTTCTTCCTCAAATTTTGAGAGATGGTCTCACTAAGTTGCTAAGTAGCTCAGGCGGGGCTCTAATCTGAGATCTGACTACCTCAGTCTTTTAGAGTGCTGGGATTACAAATGTGTGCTACTACACCTCCTTCACTAAAAGAGTAACTTTTAAATTTGTCTACTTAGCAACGAAAACAAATCACCATCTTTGGATCCAAACTAAGGTGGATTACATTGAAATTTTCAGCTGTGACCACAAAGAGAACAAAACAATTCTGATATTAATGGTAATATTCAGGATATACAACTGAGGGGTTAAGATAACTACTGCAAACTGACTTTTTTGAGGGTTGAAGTGCTTTGACTTTCTAAACATAATAAAAACTGAGTAATTTAAAAGTATGCTTTTTTTTGTAGTCATGTTTATTTCACAGTAACTCTACAGCAGAACAGTGTAGTATGTTAATATACAAAAAAGTAGGCTTTTTAAACTGTGAGTGATATCCACTATCTATCAAATGTAAGTCAAATTTCACTGGCTCAAAAGCAATGTAAACATTTACCTTAAAACTAAGAAGGTCACTTAAACCTCTCCCTTGTCTCTAACAAGGTAAAATGTTTCAGCCACTAAATGTGCCTCATCAATATGCCAGCACACAATATTTACTGGTATGCCAAAACAGGCCAAAGGGATAAAATTTGAAGAATTTAAAAGGCATCATTTTGCAACCATTATAGTTAGATCAGATAAAAATCATTAAGGATGCTCAACCTATGGAGAAATTTTGATGTGAAGTAAGACATCTGTGTTTTTTAGAAGACCTCTCCATACATAGACTGTTTACTAGAAACTAAGGAAATTATATGAAAATCAGGTCACACCTTGACTAAAGTAATCAAATTCATCACTGAGGGACAAGTGGATTGTCTGCCTCTGGATGTGACACTATACCACACCCTGAAAATGGTACATCACCATATACACAGTATTCCAGCTAAGAAACCTCAATTTAATCTTGAAGAAATACTGGAGAAATGAAATATGAGAAACAAATTCTATTAAAACAAAACACTTTAAAATATAAATGTTATAAAAGACAAAGAAAGACTGAGGAAAATGTTGCACGTGAAAGAAGGCTCTCAAGTCATAGAAGCTAAATGTATTATCTGACCTAGACTGAATCCTGTAGTGAATGAGGTGGAGGTAGGGGAGAATGCTATAAAGGACATCATTAAGTCAACCATTAAAATTTGAACATAAATAGAAGACTGGATAAAATATATCAATATAATAAAATTGTGAAGTTGATAGTGATACCATGGTCATGTATAAAAATAATCTTTTTTCTTTGAAGACACAAAAATATTTTGGAATTAAACAGTCATGCTTATGTAATTTACTCTCAAATTGTTCAGAAAAAAACCTTTTTCTCCCCTTCCACCCCTCACATACTGAAAGATTCTGCAAATGATAAAGCAAATTGAGGTAAAGTGTTAACTATGGGTGACTCAGTAAGTGAAATAGTACGCTATTGTGTACTATTTCTATTTTTGCATGTTTTAAAAATTTGGTATTTTCAAATACAAAAGGAAAAGCATCTACCAACATGCAAAATATGCTAAAGGTAAAATGTTTCAGGCACTAACTAACTTAGGAAATATTCTTAACAAGGCTGACCTCAAAAGGTATTTAGCTGAGTTACTGAATCATATATCTACTCTTTAAAAAATATTTTCCACACAAACAGCTGCACAAACATACCACATACCTGATAACTTTGCAGTCTTTGCAAGTTAAATGAAGCTGAAATATATCTCGACATTCAACACTTTCTATAAGCTGCAATGGAACCTACAATTAAAAAGAAGTCTTCTTAGTCAAAAAGGCACTGACCTTACAGTCCTTCAGTGTGTCCAACAAGACTGATTAGAAAGTTCTACAGGGGAAAGAAGTAGACAGAACTGCAAATTTAGCAAGATCAAGTACTCAAGTGATTTACCACAGAACAAATTAGGGCTTCTCTTACTCTCTATCAATGGCCTCAAGTCATGACATACATGAAGACAACAAAAAAGAAGGATCACCTCTGGGAGAGAAGTGAAATACATTTCTCTAGCACTATATTCATAAGCTCATCTCTCAAAGTACTACTTTTAAATGCTATAGCTGGCTAGAATTTGTAATGACACAAAAGATGAAGGGTACTAGAATAACAATCCCACCTTGCTTACAGAAAAGAACTAAAGATCTGAGGGCAAATGGGAATCTACCTGTTGATTATGCCAAATGACAAAGTGAACTTAGAGCTTAGCATCGGCAAAGGAGGCTCTTAAAAAAAAAGTCTGGAAGCCTAAATTGCCAATGGATTGCAAAGAAAAGATTACGGGACACTAGCTGCTGGTCAGGATCCATGCTCAGAAAAACAGACCCACAAATTATCAGGAGGAAGGGAAAAGGTCACACAGCAGTCAAAGACCCTAAAACTAGGTAACTAGCTTCAAAGACCAGTTGCCAAATATAGCTTGAAGTCTGATCAGGCTAAAACGGTTCTCACCCCGCCAATCTGGTCAGCAGACTCTACTAAACACAGGATTATGTACAACAGTGAAAGGAGACCAGATAAGGGAGACGTGGGGTGGGGCATCCGAAGGGGCTACAAATTCTTAGGGTGACAGGTCTTCCCTCCCCGTCCCTGAAATTATCTTGATTCAACCTCTGGCTTCAAAAAGCAATTTCCAAACCTTCAAAAGAGCCTGAAAAATAATTAAATGGATATTCATCCCTTAGAAGAAGGGTGGATACACTATGTCAAGTCCTGCGAAAATGTGGCTCTGGGACTTGCAAGTAGCATTCCAACAGTTCTATTCAGCATGAGGACGCGGCGATTTCCTCTAATGCAGAGAGAAACAAGAGGGCTGCCTGCACAGGGTGGCCCTCTGTCAGCTGAGCCAGTTTCAGAAACAGGGTTCCTATAAACTCTGTCCCACCACACAGCTGCCACAGTCAATAAGAGAATTCTCAAAATGAGGATGCAGAGATCAAAAAGAAGCCAGTGCTGGAAGTCTGAAACAAACAGAAACTGGGGCAGGGATTAAAAAAGAGAAGAAAGTAAAATATTATCCAGATAAATGGCTGGGAGTTTTTAACTCAGAATTAAAGGCTTCTTGCTTCTGTTTATAATCTATAAAAATTCCCTTGCAATTGTAACGGGACTGGTCGTTAGGGAAAAGACTAAGAAATCTTGCTTGTGTTCTGAGAGGAAAAAAAGCTTTGGCTCTCTGTTTTTAAATGTCCTTACTCCCAAGACGCTATAAAAAACTGCAGGTGATGAGGTTAAAAATTCTCTCAAGACCTGTTGCATGGGGGGGGGGCTGATAGGAGGAAAGGAGGAAGAGATTAAAAAGAGATTAGAAGATGACACTGACTCGTTCTTAGGCCAGTCCTCTTTGGGTGCCTCATCACTTTATTTTTAAAATGTACTCTGGTTACCCTCAATCCCACAGCTAGTGGCTGCCAGACTAGCAACTGAAAAGCCTGAGTTCTGGTCTCACTTTTCTAAAATTTTATCAGTTAAAGATCTGCCTGTTTCTTGGCTTCCCTGGGTCAACCATCAGCCTTGCTAAATGCCACCCAGTTGGTGATTTCTGAATCTCAGATGGTCACAATTCAGTAATTTGTGTACAGGGCCGGAGAAAAGCCTGGGGGTGAAGTAAGAGTGAGTTTTACAAATTCACACTGAGTGGTTGCTCTGCCAGCAGTCAGTCGCAACCCAGGTCCCCTCCAATTGTCTTTCTTATTGCTAGAAAAGGTAAAAACCACTAACTCTATTAGTAGCTGCTGGGGGAGGCAGGTCACACTGTGCAACTTTGCTACAAAGAATATGTAAGTTTTATATCACTATTACTGGACCAAAGCCCAGGGGCTCTTGCAAGAACTTCCAGAATAATTACAAAACACTTCAGAGCACACAAATTACAGTGGTACATCAGTTCACAAACTTAATTCTTTCCATTATTCTGGTAGCAAACTGAACTAAACTGGACAAGAAGTGAATCAAATTTCCCCATAAGATCAACACTGAACCTAACCACTGAATTTGATTTGGTTCTTGTCCACTTCAGTTTGCAACCAGAATCACAGAAAGAATTATGTTTGTGAACCGAGGTACCACTGTATCTGCTACCTAAAGTCCATTCAATAATAAATTTTCATATCACACTTTAAAAACAAAATGTTGGTTCTAGGCATTCAAATCAGAGTGAAGATACTAGGAAGTCACCAAAAACAACCATATGTACTCAAGTGACAGACATGGACAACAGCAGATTTTAATCCTCATGCAGACTGCCACATACAGGGAAGACTAATGTGTAGCAAAAATAACACTTTAAAGAGAAACCCAATTTATATCACTTTATATCTTTTCCCTTCTCCATTCTGCTTTCCCTTCAGTACTCCCTCCACAGACTGCCTCCTCTTTTTAAAAAGGCAGAGCAGACTTCTTCTCCCACCCGCATACATCGAGCCAAAACATAACTAAATTTCTCTACTTCTTAAGGTCTACCAACTGACCTAGCTTTCTCAACTTTCCTCACATATGAAAAGGACTTATCACTATTTCCATGATAAAGCATACCCAATAATCAGTCTCCTAAGCAAAGATTTAAAGATTAATGCCAGTCTACTTCCTAGCTCAAGGAGTTTAGACAGGTACCCCATAAGCTAACACCAAAGTCCAGTCCAGAACTCATGTGTGCCCTCTAGCCTGGGATCCTTCCACCATATCTATCCTGCCTTTCTTCCTCTAAGAGTGTCCTTCTTGTCTGTATACTCTGATTTTCTTTCACAAAAGAAGTGGCCTCTCCACCAAACATCATGAGAAAAACAAAATTTAAATGAAGATCCTTGGAGGCAATTCCATCTGCAGAAGAAATCTAAAATTACTTTCAAATCTCTAGCCCATGGATTTGTTACCTTATCTCCCTACCCCAATCCCCTTAACACATTCCTGCCAGCCTGATCCACTGGTGTTATAAACATGTCTGTTCCATTGGGTGGCTTGTACCATTCACGGTATAAACAAATCTATGTCACCTTTATTGGTCTATTAATAAAAGTAAAATTCTATCAGAACAAATCAGTTGCTTGAACTTGAAAAATTACTGCCCAAATATAAATATTAATACTATTCATACAATTAATCATTACAATAATCAACAAATTTAATTAAATTTATTTATATTCATGAATAGTTTATCAATAATTCTCTAAATTTTAACAAGGAAATCTTACAAGTGCCCTATTAGAAATTGTATAATATGATGACATCTGGTCTTTCTTCACATTAATGTAATCAGAGATCCCCTTGAAAGTGGTAAAAGCCATTTGACAGTCACACATGTACTTTTGGTGTTTCAAGCCAGTGTCAACAATCAAATTCAAATCAGAGCCACCAATTTTTAAGACATAAAAATTATGGCTCCATCATGAACACATTAATTTCTTTCCCCTTTATATTCTAGCTGCCAAGCAATTCTATCTTATTACAGTGCTTATCCTATTTCAAATTCCATCAAACTCATGTTCAAACAATGCATCCAACACACTAAATGCTGTTAATCAAGTCTTCAAGACACCAAAAGTTACATCCCAGGCACCAAAACCCATGAGCATCAATCCAAAAAAGCAGAACAGCAGTTTAAAACTTAGCAGGCATGCAAACGTGTTAAAGATCCACAATACTGTCACATTACACAGGAATCTAGCATCATATTCTGCTATATTTACCTCCTCAATTCATTCTGGTTGTGTGTGCACGTGCATTACTTTAAAGCACAAGAAAAAACCATTCATTTTAACTGACTGAACAGGAAGTACTAACCAGTACTAACCCTGTGTGCACACCTGAAGTAAAAACAGCAATACGAGTAAAAATAAAAGTAATGAATCTAAACCTAAAATCTGTAATAAAATATGGAATTTCACTAAATCATCTCACTTAAAGACCATCCTCTAGTTTCTCTTCAGGTCATATAAATCTTTCCCCTTTTAAAGACCAGTCAGAGAAAGAAAAATTTCATAAAATAAGGATCAACACTCTTTACTGTTCACTTTGGACATATACTAAGTATTTCCCTTGGTACTTGTTTCACAAGCTTCCACTAGTACAAGAATGCTAAAAAATTTCCTCCCTCTGGTGCTGAGGGGATAAAAGTGGTTGCTGGATAACGGAAAATGCAAGGAAATACAAAGGAGAGGTGTTCCCAATTGTTATATTTCTATACTTCTTCCCAACAGGCATGACAGATCAGCCTGGAAACAGACACTTTAAACACTAATGTTGATTTTATAATTGTTATTGCTGAAAATGTGGTCTGCGGGAGGCTGAGGCAGGAGGATCATTGCGAGTTGAAGACCAGCCTGGGCTACCAAGTGAGCGCAAGGACAGCCTAAACTGCATAGAGAGACCCTGTCTCAAAAAGACCAAAAAAAAAAGTGGTCTAGTTTTTAAAGATCTTTATTCCATTGCTTATGTATAAGCTGAGGCTTCATCTTCATCCCATATACTGATCTCATCAGAACTTATTACTAGAACTTTGGTGATAGGGAAGGGAGTCATGCAGAGAGGGTACATTTTGTTGATTTTCATGGTGAACATCTGACACACAAAACCAATTTGTTCCAAGCACAGGTGCAGCAACCAGCTAGGACTCTCATGCTACTTACTGGGATTTCAGCAGTAGAGTGAGAAGCAGTCTATTGAATTACACAACAAAAATTGTTTAAACTTTCATAAATTCCAGTTGAACACTTACTTGTTTATCAATTATCTACACTTCAAGAAATATAGCTGTATATATATTAAAATATAGTTTGGGAAAAAGAATGAAGCAACTCATACCTTAAATGTTACAAATGAACTCCTCCTGTACACAGGTTCTTTATTCTAGGACTTGAATATTGATATTCAGTCAATGTGTATAGATTAACGATGTTTATGGTTATCTAAATCTACTGACACATTTTACTCAATGTGCTGTGAAATTAAAACAAAATACATGCTATCAGGTAGCTATTTAAAACTTGATGGCAAGTCATTTTCTAAGGGGCTAAATGATGCAAAGTGGGGCATGCCGCAACAGACGGCACATTTGAGTTCTAATGGTTTAAATGTGTTTGATTTAGATAGTAATAACCTTTATCAGGGAATCTTCAGAACCTCATATAGTTTATTGAATATGATGAGGGATGAGGGAGGTTCTACTAATCTCATGTATTTTACTGAAATACTTATCTGACAGAGGAATGGAAGGAGGGAGGGAATAAGGGGCGATATCAATACCAACACTCTGGTTTTCATCCAGGACCTGATGCAGGAAGAGCCATTATCTTCTGGAGTAACCCAGATTTTAGCAACCTGCTATAGCTTGTGTTTTAGATCCCCTCAAAGCCTCACGTGGTCATAGGTGGGGGCTTTTTCAGAGGTGGCTGAATCTAGTGTGTGTGACTGGTTCATCATGCAATGCTAGGATTAAAGGTGCTAGGACTAAGGGTGGGTGATCACTAAATCAGTCCACTGACTGGTCTGGCACAGCCTTAATCCCAGTAGCCTGGATACAATATAAGAGTCAGAAAGAGGTCTGTCTTGTCCCCTGTTGCTTTGCTACCTTCTGCCTGCCATGAACTGTTTCTCCTCTGCAATGCTGGTCTGCCATGCCACCGATTAGAGCCAACCAATGATGGACTGAAATGTCTACAAACTGTGAGCTAAATAAATCTTTCCTTCTTTAACTTTGGGTGTTGGGTATTTTGTCTCAGCAATGAGAAAAGTAACGCAGAACCTTAGTACTAAGTGTATAGAGATTAATGTACTGGTATGGAGAAGCATCAGGCTATTATAATATGAAATGTTTATAATCACCACAATGCCAAAATACTTATACACAATTTCTCTCCCTCTCTTGCCCCACCCACTCAGTGCAAAGCCATTATTTGGGGTTTTTAAGTGACTTGTAGGCTCCAAGCTTTAGAGGGTTACAATGCTAGGAAAAACACTTTTGCGTAAGGGAATGGGTCAAAAAAGAAGAACACAGATAAAGCAGTAAATAACCTACTTCTACAGATACTCTTGGAGACAAATGATGACACAGGTCTATTCACATAAAAATACATTGTTTTAATAAATGAACTTTAAATCCAAAAGAGAGAAAATGGTCTAATATCCATTTCAAATCCCTATTAACTTCAATTCACTTAATATTTATTGAATAGCATGACATCAGGAGACATGCTGGATTCTGAAGGTACAAAGATGAATAAGCAAAAAATTACAACATGTCTAGTAAATGCTGGCAAAATATGTTTAAAATACAGAAGAAATCACATGAGTCTAATTAACCATCAGGGAGGGAACTAGAACTGAGCACAAGTTCATAAATGAAATTATCAACTAAACTGAGTTTTGACAGATGAAGAGAAGGTCTCTGGGCAGGAGACAAGGTAGAGTATGCAAAGTGAGAAGATAGCAGTGCTCTGGAAGAACCAGTCCATTGAGAGGGAGGAATTTAGACTAAAACAGCTCCTAGACATGAATGCTTAACTACAAATAATAATAATAAATAAATTGTAACATTCAACCACTAAGAAAACAGCAGCCTCTGAAATATAAATCAAAGCATGAGACTTCAGGAAAAGGTAACTTTTGGACTGGTAAAATGAATGAAAATGACGGATTTTAAAGAATTCCCAAATAAACCCCGAAACACCCAATCAGATGGAAGAATAGTCCTGAGCTCTTACAAGGTGTCATAACACATTTCTCTGTGCTAGCACTTAAGTACAGAAAGCCATAACACTAGCAAGCGAGAAATGATGAAGGTACTGGTTCAGTGGAAGTATGTGAACTTATGAGCCCTTACAGGTTTCATTTAAGACATTAATGATAGCAGTGCTCTGGAAGAACCAGTTCACTGAGAGGACTCATAAACGAAAAGGGGTAAATGTACTCTTGGGAATTGAGAGCCTTCCTTTTCTTCAATAATATATAGTCCATTATGCAAATAAGCATTTTACTTAACATCTATACTTATACCACTTAGGAGCCATTAGAGTAACTTCATCCTATAATGAGAGTCTGCCATAAGCTCAAAGAACATCTCATCATCTGACATTGAGGCACAGAAAATTATCTCAACTTAAGCAGCTGGTAACCACCACAGATTAAGGAAATAAAGCTTATTCAGTCTTTCTACTTTTATAAAACAATACAGCAAGATCTAGTACAAATTGTTCAGTGTTAAATAAACAATAAACCCCTCAACTGACAACTAAGTGAATCATTTTAAAGAAAGCGTAAGTTTTGCTCACTAACTGAAAGTCTTGAGTGCTAAATTAATTGAGAGAAAAGCAGTGCTTTTCTCTCACATAGTGCTTTCACACACCCAGTTCTGTATATGACTCTCCTCTCCTTGAGGACATTACCAAGTTTTTCAACTTCTCCAGCTACCTAAAGGGAGAACAGTTAGTAATTACTTACATTAACAAGAGACTCTTTGAATTTGATGTGAAGTCTATAATTAGAAAGGGCAATAATGGCATCCTCAGCACGGCCCACATACTCTGTGCTCTCTCCATGAAGCTCAAGGAAAGGAACCTTCAAAAGGGAAGAAGAAATCTTCAGAGTTCTCAAGCAGTAAAGCACGTTTCAAACATGGATCAGGTGAATGGATGGTAAATCCTCTGTCATCCAAGTTTAAAGCAAATGAGTAAGGGACCTAAAGATTTATACCCATATAATTCAAATATACCTACTTATGAAAACTGTAGACAAAGAAATAGCAATGATAGAGAAAATCATCTCAAAAAGTAATTTTCAGAAAATAAGCTTTGCTAAAATGAAAGATGTTTTTCATCTTATGTATGCTGTAGGAAAAAATATATACAATATGAGGCATCACTTCAACTCATTAGCTTTGCTACGTCATTACTATGATGCTAAATATGTATTACATAATTAAAAGTATCCTTACTTACCTGAAGATTCTCATCCTCCCTAATCAGCTGCTTCCTGGGAAAGATTTGATTGGCCTGGATGCACTCAAGACTGTGCCGAGTCTCTTCATCCTGGAAAGACCCAAAAATCTTTAATTTTAAGACTTCTGGTCACTTGCATTGTTTTTCTGCCATTTTACTCACATAATCCCAACAGAAATCCAATGACAAAGATGAACAGACAGAAAAGCTCAAATAAAAAATATTTATTTCAAAAGTATTCCAGTATATTAGATGTTATGTGTCTCCCAAATAGATTAATATACTAGGTGTGCTAAGTGTCCCTCAAAGGCCCCCATGTTAAAGGGTTGGTTGCCAGTCTGTGACACTACTGGGCAAGTGGCAGGCCTAGCAGGAAGAAGATGAGTCACTGGGAGCTTTCCTTAGAGGGGATATTGGGATCCAAGCCCGTTTTTCCTTGTTTCCTGGCCATCCTGAAGAAAGAAGCTTCCTCTGCCATTTGTTCCCATGATGAAGTACTGTCAACCCAAAGGCCCAAAAGGAACAGCTCAACCAACAATGGACTAAAATCCCTAAAACTATGAGATAAAATGAATCTTTCCTCCTTTTAAATTGACCTCAGGTATTTGTTACAGAAATGAAAAGCTAACTAACATAGGTTACTCTGAGAATACAATGATGTCAAGAAAGTCAGACATCACACCATTTCTGTTGGTCAATAACAGCATGTTAGTACAATCACTGAAGAGAAACTGAAAAAGTGTTTTTCTCTTTAAATTATAATCTCAAATTCTTATTTTTGATGGGTACATTCTCAATTATTTAAGAATAAAATCAGCCAGGCATATGGTGCATGCCTGTAACTCCAGCACTTGGGAGGCTGAGGCAGGAGGATCACCAAGAGTTTAAGGCCAGGCTGAACTACATAGCAAGATCCTGTCTAAAAAAAATAAAAAAAGAATTTCCCAAACTAAAATCATGTGAACCATTATCCCTAGTTTACTCCACCTTATATCGCAAAATGGTCTATTTCTGTTAAACCAATTTCAAAAGGTGAAACAAAAAAATTCTTGTCTCAATTCCACCTGAATTATAATTTGTATAAAAAAGTTATTGTTTCAATTACTTTCTTGTTGCTGGGGGGAAAAAAATACCTGGCAACCACAAGTTAAAGGAGAGCCTTATTTTGGCTCATAGTCTGTAGAGGTTTCAGTGTGATTCTCTAACGTGTGTAGATTCCGAGGCCTTCATAGGGGCCTTGCGAGGTCACAACTACCTTCAGAATATTATAACATTATTTGCCTTTTTTCTGATGTGTTGATATTTGTTCTAATAGTACAAAAAGAACTAGTGGGAAAAACTGCAGGCACAATCAAAGAAGTGGCAGCAATTTCATTAATAATGAAATGATACAGTAGGAAAAATTCCACTGAAGTATTACGGTTGTCTTCAGGTAAAGCACTTATACAACTATATGAATTATATGCTGAACTAGTCATTTTTTAAATTTAAGTATTATTTTTAACAGAAAGAGCAACTGATGGACAAACTATGGACATTCGGACTTGGGCATGTGACAGATCTTTTCCCCAATGACAGTATCAGCTGCCAATAACAAAGATTTTATGCAAAAATTACCATTCTGGAAGACCTGCCATCTGTCACCATGAATTTAACAGCTTCCAAATCCTTAGGACTGTTATAAAATTAGTGGTGATTTTATGAAATGTGATTTTCTTTGTAAAAAGTATTAATTATATGTCAACATTTGTAAGACGTTTAAAAATCCTGCATGGGGGCCGGGGATGTAGCTCAGCAGCACAGCACCCGCCTGGCAAGTATAAGGTCCTGAGGGTGATTCCTGGTACCAAAAAAATTAAATAAATAAATAAATAAAATCACGCATGGGCCAGGTGTGGTGGCACAAGCCTGAAAACCTAGCACTCCAGGAGGCTGAGGCAAGAGGATCACAAATTCAAAGTCAGCCTGGCCAATCTAGCAACTTACTGAGATCCTGTCTGAAAATTTCAAAGTCATGCAAGGACTTATTCAAAGTAGAAAATAAGGGCTGAGAATGTAATTCAGTGGTAGAAAGCTTACTTAGCATGTTCTAGGCCCTAGGTTCCAACCCCAGCTGCTCCCTCCCCCACAAAAAAAATAAGAAAAAAAGTGCAAGAGAGATCAATGTTTTAACATAAAGAATACCCAAAGGTGGGGCTGGGGATTTAGCTCAGCGGCAAAAGCGCCTGCCTGGCAAGCTTAAGGTCGTTGAGTTCAGTTCCCGGTACCGGAGAAAAACCAAAAAAAAAAAAAAAAATACCCAAAGGTTCACTGATACAGTTTCAGGTTCCACCTGCAGCTAACCTTTAAAAACATACCACTAGTCAAGTTTTGGTATAGTATTTAAGAAAAATACAATTATTGAGAAAAAAATTTAAAGTACTCTTTCCTTTTCTACCTTCCTATCTGTGTGAGGCTGGGTTTTCCTCATATACTTGAAACAAAAGAACACACTGTAACAGACTAAATGCAACAGTGACAAGAATCTAGCTGACATCTGAGCCAAACATTAAAGAGATGTGGAAAGTAGCCAGATGTGGTGGTGCACCTCAGTAACCCTTATACTCAGGAGGGTTGAGGCAGGACGCCAGGGCTACCTAATGAGTTCTAACCCAGCCTGAACTATATATATAGTAAGACTCTGTCTCAAAAAAAAAGATTTGAAAAGTGCAAAAACAATACCATTCTCCACACTATTTTGGATGAGAAAAAAAAGTTATTTTTCAAATGTGTTATTTATGCTACCATATAACTGGTCTGTTACTACTATTTTCAAATAATTTTATGGACATTTTAAAGATTTCTCAGCTTTGATTTGCAATACGGTAAATACAGTTAAATATGCAACTCTTCTTGGATGTCCTCAATAATTTCAGAATGTAAAAAATATCCTGACACCAAGAGTGCCAGAACCGCTGCTCCACACTATAATACTACATACGTACCAATTAAAGCTGTTCTGATTTGAAAAGTCACATTTTCCCTAAAACTATTCTCTGATTGTTAATCTATAATAGGAAAAGCCATCCTAATAACCTGAAAAACAACCACCTCACCTACTATTCCAGCATCATTACTACTAATTAACTGACGTGACCTAGCACTTCTATAAGGGCACTATCTTGAGCTATATATTTTCATGGGTCTCCCCCTCCACACACAAAAGTTTGGTATTTAAAATTTGGAAGGAAACAAATGGACTCAAATTATAAAAATAAAATTTTAAAACCTGTATAAATTCGTAAAATACTATGAAAAGTTACAAAATTTCAATCTAAACATGTATATTTTCAAAAGTTCATTTTAAGCTAATGTCACCTCTCCATGACTGCTGAAATTGACCATGATTGTTAAGAACTACAGCTGACAGCAGGATGTAGTGATTCATGCCTATAATCTCAGTACTCAGAAAGGTGACAAAATGAGGCAAGACTACTACTTTGAGTTCAAGGCCAGCCTGACTACAAGGCAAGAACGTTTCTTTAAAAAAAAAAAAAAAAAAGCTTATAGTTGACAATAGTTTCAAAAGCAAAATTATAGAAGTCTTTTCAGTTCCTCATACAGCCAAAACAAGTAACTGTACTTAAGGAACTTGGTATACTTTAATAAAGCTGGTATCAGTTTGGGGTTCTCTTAAAGTAATATAATTATCCAGAGTATACCAAGGTCTGTAAATGGCTCCAACCCTGTAATCACCAAAATAACTTGTTAGAAGTGTTCTGTCAATCTGTACCATTTCATCCCTTTCCACTCATTTTTTCTGAGGTCAACAAATAAGTGAAGAAATGGAGGGAAGTTATTATAGGGAGTCATTTTTTTAAAAGGAATCAATTTTTCTCTTGTAAGTATGAGGACAGGTAGGAAATGCTGTAGAAAAACACAGTGGGCAGGCGGTTTTAAAGACTCTTACAAACTATACAACAAGTACACTTTAAACATACCTTCCCAGCATCACATTAACCAGCTTTAAACTCACATAAATGTATAATGTCTACATTTCCACTGTGTTTAAAATCATTTTATAGAGGTGTTTATTATTTCTCTAAGTGATTCCCTGACCCAGTTTTCTGTTGGGTCAGACTTTAACTGAAAAGCTGAGAACTGAAATACTGTAGCAGAGAAGCAGGAAAGGAGCGGGTAAGGGAGGGAGGAAAAGTATGAGAGAAGGAGAGGGAGAAAAGGGAGAAAGGGAGCGTAGAGGGAGGGGAGGAGGGAGAAAGGAGGAAAGAAAAGAAAAATGAGAGAAGCCATTTATTTAACCTACTCATTCTTGCTAGAATCCTCACTTGGAGGCTAATCCTGTCCAATATATATGTAACCAAAGAAGCTACTTTAAAAAAAAAAAAAAAGCAGCAGCAGCAGCTACTGAAAACTGAAAATGGAATGAATGGTTTTCAATGTAAAAGAACTGAGAATAGGGCCAGCAAGAGCACAAAATACTTGCTTTTTACAGTTTAATTAAATAAATACTCTTTTAAATGATATTATCTTAGCTCATGTTACCTGTAAAGCTTAAAAAATATTTTCCCCGTGTGCATAAAAATGAACTTAATTTCCAAAGATTAACATTAAGACTAACTGTGCACTAACTTCCTAGAAGGCTGACTGAAAAAATACTTCATTAAAGAGCTGAATTTGGCAGCTGAATGAACTGGCTACACCTTTATTATAGTTTCTGTGAGTTTGTGAGTAACAAGGAGCCAAATTTGACATAGGTGACAGAGTGAGAAACTGGGAGAAGACAGATACTGGAAAGTGGTGGCCTGATAAGCCACTTGGAAACAAACTTTTCCTAGACTACAAGCAGTAATTTACTAGTATTAGAAAATGCATTCCACATTGTCAATTTCCCACATTACTGGGCACTGTGGAATCTGGTCATTCTCAGTCTCCACCCAACTCCATGAAATCAGAGGGGTTGGTTTCTGCTTTTGATTAAATTATGCAGGATAAGAGGGAAATCAACATTATAGATAAATTAAGTAGAACGGAAGAAGAGACTGTTGACCAATTAGTCCTGTTAGATGAATTTATTTCTAGTGCTCATGTTTGCAAAATGTAAAAATGAAAGTAATCACCAGTCTGATTATGGTCAATTCCATTCACTCCCCAACCCATAACCCCAAAGACAGAGTCTCATTATGTGGTTCAGGCTGGTCTGGAACCCTTTATGTAGCCCAGGGTGGCCTTGAACTTGCTATTCTCTTGCTTCAGCCTTCAAGGAACAGGATCACAGGTGTGTGCCACCATACCTGGCTGCCATGTTCACTATTTTTAAGACAGGTACTAAAGGCTGTTAAAAATATACTTTCCCTGATGTATACAATTCCCTTGGAATTTATGTTAAAATAATCCAGAGGGGTAGTAGGTAGAAAGTGGGGATCAGAAAACGTAAGAGTAGGTATGACCTTACACTGAACCTGAATGATGTGTATCAGAATTCACTGTACGTTTTTCCCCTCACAAAGGTTTGACATTTTCCAAACAAAACATGAAAACATTGTTCTAATGCCTCACCTCTCAAAGACAGACTTCAATTCAAGAGCCATTAAAATTATATTTTAATACCCTTATATATATATATATAAATTTTAAATATAAAGCCTATTATGAAAAAAATAAAAATTAAAAGGGATCTATGTATAAGGGTTCCTTTTCTCCCCACAAAAAAATAAAAAATAAAACCATATTATGCTCAAATTAGTACAGAAGTATATATATTAAAAAGATAGTTTTTTAAAAACCCAGCAGGTTCAATGCTGTACAATTTTCTACACAAAAACTATGGATTAAGAACAATAGGAATCCAATGAATCAACATGGGCAAATGGTTACTTCACTTAGTAAAATATGCACAGTAGATAATTATGTATTGTTCTAGCTACATAAAACACACACACATGACATGTCGTAGTCAGAAAGGAATACATACAACCATGAGTTCTGTTGGTATAATTATAAATAAGAATTTTTTTAAAAATGTTATAATGCTGCTTTAACAAAAAAGACACATTGGCTATGCTGTTCCCCAACTATCATACACAGCAGCTTTTCCAGAGCATATCTGTAGCAAAAGGGCCGAAGAGGCTATCTACTGGGCACCACAGAAACTGCTGCAGCACCAGGAAGAGGAGGACAATGCTACTGCTGTGTGGTATAAACTGAAGAATAAACTCTCAGCACTGTTTCCATAAACCCCACTATTTGCTAATCATAAACACTGACATGCATACCATTTAAAAGACGAGTGTTTTTTAATTAATTAAAAAAAAAAAAACTCTGGAAAAACTATTAAAATATAGTTTAGCAAAACACCAGCAAAAGTTCATCAATGTTTGGGAATTGGAAAAAAACAAAGAGTTTTAATAATGCCTACAAACTAACAAAAAAAATTGGCCCATCTTCAAGAAGTGAGCAGTTACCTTTCTCCTCTTTTTCCTGACATTTCTGAATTGGATTGTTTTGGTTTTTTTTAAGTTTGTTTTTAATTTTGAAAAGTATTTTCTACTATGTCCCTAATGAAGCTTGAAATTAACATGGTCTTTTCAATCTTTTCTTTGTGCACCAGCATGAAACAGTTTAGACCTAGGAAACATCACAAGGTAGAAACAGGACAATATTACAGACAATCATTTCTCTTTTAAGCCTTGAAGCACTGTTTACACATCCTCAAGACTGATAAAAATATGACTGGCTTGTTGCTCTATCTCTGCCTACACTGAACCCTAAATGGTCCACAAGTCACTGTTACATTCATTATATGCTCTTTTTAGCCAAAGAGTCAAGACAAGGTATTCAGAGCTGCACTATTATGAGATCAAAATACTGCCTTAAAAAGATAGAACACATAAAGTAGGAAAAGGCTCTGTCCAAAAGGTAAATTTATTAAAAATGTATGCTATGTAAAATAATGCATGTTAGTTTAATTTGGCCATTCTACAAACACAAATTTCAAAACATGTTGTACACAGTATAATTTTATGAATTAAAAACAAGTATGTAGATGATCACCTCATAATTTTACACATACCTAAACTAATAAACACATAAAAAGCATTTTTACTACATCTTGTTTCCTAGGCTTTTTTAATTTGGGGGTTTCTGGGGGTTGAATTGATGACCTTGTGCACAGGACACATGTACTCTACCACTGAGCTGTACCACTAGCTCAGCTTCCTAGGAAAGACGGAATTAAAAAGAACCCAAGAACCATGTGTTAATCAGTCTTGATTCCTCTTACTAGCTGACTTAATGAGACACATTACTGAACTCACAGAATTCAAATTAACAGAAATAAAACTGCTCTGTACAGTGATTCCCTTTATTACTCTTTAGTAAATAAGAGAAACAAGACGAGAGTTCTATAAAAAGGAAAAATGAAATAATTTCCTATAAAAATAGAAATGGGTTAACTACATATACGTTAGTGTTGACTTAAATTATCAGGATTGAGTTCAACTCCAATTCTCTTATTGCCTTGTACTTACCATGACAGGAGGCCCAGATTAGGAGGAGAGATCCCCGTCCCTTCTTCAGTGTCTGACAAGACTCTTCTTTCTCTTATGCTCAGATCTTTTATTTGAAAGAAAAAAAAAAAAAAGGACAAAATTGGCAACAGTTTTCCCCATAATTAGCTAGACTCTAATTAAAAGGACTGCATTTACATGGACCTAAAAACCTGACCGGAATCAGCCAAGAAAAAGTTGAATATCATCCAGTCGATTCTCACTAGTCAATTCCAAATTTGATAATGCTTTTGTACAAATCCTTCTGAACTTAGGGGCTGGGGATTTAGCTCAGCAGCACAGTGCCTGCCTGGCAAGCGCAACGTCATGAGTTCAATTCCTGGCACCAGAAAAAAACCAAAAAAAAAACACACCAAATCCTTCTGAACTTAAGTTGTACAAAAAAGATAGCAACTACTAACAATCCTATACAACAAATATTACAGACCTTGAATGAAAATAATAAAGCAATAATTAAAATCAATCTGCAAGGGGCTGGAGATATAGCTCAGTGGCATAAGAGCCTGCCTGGCAAGCACAAGGTCCTGAGTCCAATTCCCAGTACCAAAAAAAAAAAAAAAAAAAAAAAAAAAAAAAAAAATCAATCTGCAAATCAAAAAACATTCTTATAATTTTTGAGGATGTTTGTGTGATTATCTTATTCAAAATGGATCTCCCTATCTGCAGGAAGAAAACTGACTTAGTAATACCCAAAACATGAGCAAACAAACTGCCTGATTACTCCAATATTCTATACTCACCTGAAAACTTACAATGTACTAATAATATCTTTTACATAGATTTTTGAAACAAGAAAAAAGGAAAGGGAAAAATGCCCGAGTACTTTATCATCTTTAAAAGCTGCTCTTTTCTTTGAGTAATTTAGTTTCATGCAAAGCCAACATTTCTGGTTTGCTAGAATTCTAGGAACAAAGGATATTTTAGGGAGGTGAGCTTCAATTTCAACATAAGCTCTGGAAGAGCAAAGTTAAGTGAGTAAATGGAATAACCGGGCCCAGATCATGTGGAATTGTTGGAGGTTGTGAGAAGAGAAGTGCCATCATTTTACTGTGGTGGCTGGGTATGTAACCGTCTAGCCTGTTGAAATGAGGAGCAAAGAAAGAAGGAGACCAGTTTGAAGGCTACTGTAATAATCCAAACAATATAGTATTTACAAGGCAGCAGTGATAGAAATGGTAGGATGTTGCAGAATGGATATCTTTGAAAGTACTGTCCACAAGACTTGAGCTGATGACTCAAGAGTGAGATAAAGAAGCCAGATGTGGTAGAGCACACTTGTAATCCTAGCAATCCAGAGGCTAAGGCAAGAGGACTATGAGTTCAAGACCAGCCTAAACTACACAGCAAGACCCTATCCAAAAAAAAAGAAAAAGTGAGACAGAGAAGTCCAACTTTCTGCCTATACTATGGGAAGCCAGGATTTCCCATTTACTGATACCCATTAAGAAAAATGGATTCTCCCCCTCATAGAGGAGAGAAGAAGCAACATGAGCAAGGAGTTCTGTTTTATTCTTTTTTTTTTTTGGCTTTTCTGCGGTACCGGGCACCAAACTCACGACCTTGCACATGCCAGGCAGGCGCTTTTGCCGCTGAGCTAAATCCCCAGCCCCAAGGAGTTCTGTTTTAGACCTGTGTTTGTGATGCTTAGTAGATAGCCAACTGAAGACACCCAAGTAAAGTACTCAATAAACATGATTGGAGATCAAGAAGAGGAAAGTCAGAAATAAAATGTGGGAGATATCAGTGTATGAATGGCATAAAAGCCACAACTCAGGAGTAAGTGTATGTGGAAAGGCTAAGAAGGGCAAAGTCAGGGGCTTAGCATATGCCATTCTTGACAGACTGAAAGAATGAAGGAGAAGTATATGATTCAACGATAAGCCAAGTCAGAATCACTCTTACCATTTCTTCAAATCTAAACCAAGGAAGCCAGGCATGGTGGCACACAGCCGTAATCCCAGCACTCAGGAGGCTGAGGCAGGAGGATTGTTGCAAGTCTGTGACTAGCCTGGGCTACAAAGCAAGCTCAAGGCCAGTCTGAACTAACCCTGTTGCCCTCCCCCTCCAAAAAAACTAAACCAAATCGTCATGGTCTGACTTAGCTTAGAAATCCAAAATACTATAACATGATTT